AAAAGTAACATTCAACCAAGGAAGCAGCTCTCGCACTCAGGTGTGCTGAAGCATCCAATTCTGAAAACGCGTCCAAACAATTCGCTCCACTTAAAGAGGTCTTTGTCGAGTGAACTTGGAAGTTTGGGAACTGAAGGGAATTTCTTGTCAAACAAAGCTGTACACTCTTCATCAAAATATAATCTTAAATCTAGCAAGTATAAAAAGGGAGCAGGTTTACCTATGGTTGTTGGCCAAACATCATCCCAATTTATATGCACCATTTGCAAAAAAGGTTTTACCTGCTCAAGCCATCTTAAAATACATTATCGTACACACACAGAAGAGTGGCCTTACACATGCACTAGTTGTAATCGTTGTTTTATGCAAGTAAGTACGCTCAACAGTCATCGTAAGACTTGTCCATATCGAAAATCCATAAATGCTAACTTGGCACCAAGCAGCAACTCCATTCCTCCAAATCCAGGAACCTCTGTTGTGTTGGATGAAGAGAGAAACACTCCACTCTCAGTTGGTGATGAAGAATCAGTATCTCTGACCAGTTCCCAATCACATTGGGGAAAAGCAAATGTTGAAAATAGTAGAGCAGTCATCACAAATGAACATGACAAATTGCTAGCTTCATTTTCTCCTCCTTCAAACTCTGACAAAGAATTGTCCATTATGATCAAAACCCCATCTGAAGGCCTAAATTTACAACAGACTAAAAGAATTATAGCAGACAGCTCAGATATATTGTCTGATGAAAGGCTCGGTCCAGAGAAAGCATCTCCCTATACTGAAGTAAAGTTTCTTCTACAAAAAGAAACTGCTACATCAAGTGATAATTTCAATGAATTCAAAGAAAGTCAACACCAACTTGAGATTTCTAAGGAAAGCTTTCAAGGCTGTAAAGACTGCAGGCAAAATTCAAGACCATCCTGCCCTCACCAGCAAAAGCATACCCCCTCATCCTTTAGCAAATATATCATTAAAATTGAACCAGGTTCTGAAGCTGTAAATAGTTGTAGTGCCTCAAAGGAACCGTTTCAGCTGTACGATTCTTTTGAATCAGCTGGTAATAAATCCTCTAGTCTGTCACAAGAAAATTTAAAGGATTATCTAAGCAATAACGATTTGAATCGTTCTAAAGAGCAAACAGATCTTACTAGCTTTTCTTTGCCTCAGTCAGCTAACAACCAAATAAACGATGATGCCAAATCGAGCCATCTTGTGGCCAGTTAGGGGCCAAACAAACTGAAGATTCAACGCTCCCAGCTTCTCATGGCAAGAGTGAAGATTCTCACAACTGCAAAAACTGTGGTCTCACATTTCACCAACTGACTAGCCTCATTCAGCACAACTGTCCGCGGAAGGTGAACCGTTACCCTTTCTCTTGCGAATACTGTGATAAATCCTTCACACGGCATAGTCATCTGGTCACTCACCGCCGTACACACACCGGTGAACGTCCATACCAATGTCGTTATTGTCAACGTTCTTTCACCCAAACAAGTGCTTTGTACAGGCATCAAAAGACCTGCAGCTTTATACCAGCCCACTTGAAGGCAACACCTGTCAAAAGCTCTAAGTCCTGACCTTAACTTTTTTCATTGAAAGTAGCCTTAATGCTCAGTTCTGAGGGTTTGAAATTGATGGGTTTATTGTTTCATTTTTCAGAATGTTTTTTTTTTTTCATGCTGACATGGAAAAAAAGGCAACATCACACAGAAAGCTATTTACAAATTATTAATTTTTAATTATTTTCTTGTAACTTTATAAAAAGTTAAGAACACACACATACTACCAGCTTTTAAAGTATTTTGAGGGATGTAAAAATGCAAATTAGAAGAAAATATATAATTTAACTCTTTTTTTATAATAGAACTGAATTTATGAGCTTTTTTGTGTTAATACATTAATTTAATATCCAGAAAGAAAAAATATTAACAGTATTTATTAACTAATGCATAAATTGTCAGTGGGAACTTTTTTTTTCATATTAATGTATGCATTATTTTTATTGCCATGACTTACTGTACAACATGAGAAAACAAATCAATGTTTACAACTAAAATATAAAGCTGTCAGTTGGACTCAAACTTGTAAAATGTGGATTATCATTTATAGAAGAGGAGTGATTTCCTTCTCTGCCAACCTTGAACTTAATTTATTTTTATGATGAGTTAAGTTTGTGTCAAAGTCATACCTGCTACTGGTAAAAATTAAAAAAAAAAAAAACGTCAATGAGACACTTAAGAGTGTCTGCTCTGTAATTAGAAAAATAGAAATCGGATCTCAACTTTTTTTTTTTTTGTAGTGTGTACATGCACACACATTATCTCTTGTCTGCATGCATTTCTGCAGTTGTGAAAAAAAAATACAATTTAAATCTCAGTTGAAAGTGTCTTTGGTTTTACTTATTTATAAAAAGAGTGTAATAGAAAGATGATATTCTAGTGAGTTTGTTCCTCACTGAGGGCTCTGAAGAAACGTGGCCTTGCATCAAAATTGGCTTTGTCACTTAAAAATAAAATCTCCATCCACTTTAATATTTAAATGATAAAAGAAACAGATATGCCTGGTTACTTATATTATGATGGTGAGTTGTTTTAAATTTAAGGATTTTCAAAGTTAATCTCTTCATTTGACATAATTTAAGTCAAACTGACAGCTTATTTCAGAGTTGTTTATATTGATGTATGTATATTAATTAAATATTTTTAACATGGTACCTCATTGTTTTCTTTTATTGTTAATATGTATTTTTTTTTTTCTTCAGAATTACACTTTATAATCATAGCTTTACTTTGCAAATGAAGATTATGCAGTTTTTTTGTTTTTTTTGGTGATTGTTACAGGTCTTCCCATCTTGGGTGTAACAACTAAATTAGGATAGTGCTTTGGCTACAAGTTTTAATCATGAGTTATTTGCACATTAAATGATTCCATCCTTTACATGGGTACCTTACATGTAAAATTTTAGAATATAATACACATGTAGAATTTGGGGAGGGCTAAACTTCTCCTTCATTCAAAATTTGGATCTCTCTTCCTGACAATGGTTAGGCTTGTACATATGATCTATCACAATCCTACTCATTCATCAAGTCATCTCTACTTTCCCTAGCCAGGGATTATGTTTTTGTGTGTTTGTTAGTTTTCTTTTATCATTGTTTCTTCATTTCCTCCACCCCTACATTAAAGCAATGTATTGCTACTGTTTCTGGACCCAAAAGAGGGCAGTAGAATACAACAGGGACTTGAAGTTTACAAAGACTTTAGTCTTTATCTTGAAAAGGTATTGTGTCACACACTAAAAGGAATGAAAGACACTTCATATTCAGGGGAAGGTATAAAAATAGTATGTAATAAATATAGTTTTGTTTGTACAACTTTTTAGATTATTTGTGTAAGTTCCCTGAAGGAATTTAATTTCACAATGGAAGGCCATGGGGAAAACCTCCTTCCATTAAATCTTGCAATTAGGAACACAGCTATTCTTGTAATAAACTTGTGCTGGTATTTGGCCAACCAGTTTTGCTATACCAATTGGTAAAATGCAGAAAACTGAAAGGCAGTTTATTCTGTCATTCCAAATGTGTAGACACTATATGTCTTTAATCCCTTAACAGCATAGAGGGCTTTTTTTGCTTTTTACACAGTTTCCAGGAAACCAGAGCTCTTACTCCTAATTAATCAACTTTTAAAATTTATCAGTAAATCCTTTCCAGTACAGATCTTCAGACACTGGATTTAAACTTCAAAGCGTATTCTTCAGAGAGGTCTTTTCTATAACTTTAGCAGTTTCACGAAAACTAAACATACCCAATGCAAACCCAATTATCTAGATCGGTACAGAAGTGATAAGTATTACTGGATTATATTGACAAACGCTAAGTTTAGTTAATTCTAAGTTTGAATCTCCAACTCACTGTGCCAATTATTTTCTGTTTCATTGTCCATGGTCTATTATGTCAACTAAGATTAAGAAGTTTTTATAAGAATGAATTGTATATCAAGCAACTCGAGAAATATAGTTCTTATGATAAATAATTGAATAACTTTGAAACTGCTCTCCCTGAAGTTTGGAACTAAGAAAGATGGTGATAAAATTCTGTTCAAGTTTGGTATGTATATTTCCAGACCCCATTGAACTGCAACTTGATGCACACTTGCTTTTTTAACTAGTGTACTGAGGCATTTTGTGACCAAATTGCAACTCAACTGAAAAGAGTAACATGGTATTTTGACAGGTTAGTTTTTTTTTGTTTTTTTTTTTTAAGATAAATTACTCTTCCTTTTTCTAAACCTGTACTTTGCAATTAGTCACAGAAGAAATTACATTAAAATAATGCTAAAATAGCGATTATTAAGTTATTTTTGTATATAATTACCCACTTTCTTTTATATTTAATCATCTTTATTTTCTAAAAAAAAAAAAAAGTTCACTATGGCTAAAATTATAATAGAGAAGTTACTGCTTTTTGTATTTCTGTTGCATACTGTATTATGACATTATAATAAGCAACTTTTTCTGTATATTTCTTTTTGTCCATCACCTGTTACACTAAAACTAAGGCAAATATAAAATATAAACCATACCCTGATTTGAACATCTAACCAGGAGGTAAGCAGTCAGGCAACACGTGTTCTGCGGCTTGATCAGCATGGAACCCTACTCTGAGCATGTAAAACTTTTGATCCAGGCCAGAATTTATTTTTTAACAGTTCCTGATAGTAATATAATTACATCAGTTCTGCCAGCCATAATGTTTGTCACAATCACTAAGCCTGGGTTGTGTGGCAACAGCTTAGGTGGTATAAAATTATCTAAAAGTTTCACAGGTTAGCAAAATACCTCAAATGTAAAGCTAAAAATTCAATATGAACAATATTCACCACAAAAAAAAAAACAAACAAACTCCATAGCAATTGTCACAAACTTTTTTTTTTTTTTTTTTTATTACAAAAAATTTTATAAATTGTTAAAAATTATGAAATTATGTTAAATTTATTTTTCAGGAAACTATTTGTGCATCTTTTGCTAAGCTATAGAATACAGAGTTCTGATCTTGTAGGAGTTTCTGGGGTGAGGCAAATTCTTTTATTTTTCCAGCATCAAGTACCATAATTCTGTAAATAAGAAGTTAAACAGAAATATTAAAACATAGGTAGAGTTTTGCTTTAAGTACAATATAATCAATTAATAGAAATAAAACATCCTTGGGATGAGAAAGGAGTTTTGAGATAAAACACAACAGGCATAAATAAATATATATATTACACAAAAACTATAGTTAGTACATTAAATTACATCACAATTTGTGTGCTTATGAGTCCCAAAAGTTCAAGAGCATAATGGAAAAACGAATATTTTAAATCGATAAAGAAAAAAAAAAAAAAAATTTACTTTTAGCAAAAACTGAAATGTCTTGCAAAGATTTATCTTTGTCATATGAGAAATTAGGTTGTTCAGAGAAGAATGGCCTATTTTAGAATCAACATTTATGTCTGAATTTAAACTGTTTAAATCAGTCAAAATAGGAACCCTGAGCATCTACACATTTCTGCCATTGAATTACAAGGTTATTTTTTAATGCAGTTTCTGCATCTTCATTACAACGGAACATCTTGACTTAAAAAATTGTCAAGAGACTTGAAAATGTGGTAGTCTGCGAGCAAGAGATCAGGGTAATGTGGAGGGATATGACAATCTTGTATCTCAAATTGGCCAAGCATTGTCATGAAGCAAAATTGGACCTTGTCGATTAACTAATGCCAGTTACATTTTTATTAAATGAAAGTGCATTTCATCCAGTTACTGGCAGTAAACTTTGCAGCTTTCTGGAACTTAACCAGAGCATCACTGCCAAAGTGATTGGGTCCTTCATTATGATCAAGCCATTGGGCCGATCATTTATAGCTGTCATAAAGGGTCCATTTCTCATCACATCACTATTCAATCAAGTAATGGATCATTTGAATGTCCCAGATGCAGCAAACTTCAAAATGTCAAAATCTTTGAGTTCATGTGTAGAGTTTCTTCACGTTACCAATTTTCTTGAGATGGCCTGATATTGTTGAAATGCTGAGACATTTTTCTGACACAGGTTTTATTCAACAAGTCTTTTCTGATATTGTCTGTCAATTGCAGATGGACATCCTCTACCACCTTGCTCTTCAAGATTTGTATTCCAATTGCAGAATTACAGAAACCAGCACTGTACTGTTGATCATCACACCAGTTTGAGAAGCATTATGACCAAGCTTGAATTTGTGCAAAACAAAAAAGAATGCATCTCTTCATGTTCAAGATGAGAGAGTATATGTTTTAAGTTAAATTCTGAAAGAGTGATATAAAGTTAACACAGGACACTTTAATCATTAGGGATGAGGAATATATGTTTATGCAATTATTATAACAGAACATAAAAAGGTTTATTCTAAAATCGGACATTATTTTCTGAACAACCTTGTAAATATTATGTCAATACTCATGTTGATCTTAATATGCTGCACTTAGTCTGGCACAAGGCCACAAGTGTAGAGGTACTCAGTTAAAACCTAACTAACTAGAGTAATAATGGTTTCAATGAGCTTGTGCAAATGGATGGCAGAACATGGACTGGGAGGAATAAAGGGACAAATATTCATGTAAATACCGTCTTCATTTTTCTCACTACAACCTTCTTTCATCTTCCTTAAAATTAGATTCACAATGTACAAATCTTATCGATTTGTTCATGGATATTGATTTTAAATTATATTAACTGTTAAAATCTTTCAATTAACCACAGTATTTTTAAGTAGCAAGTAGCTGTTTTTTTTCTTAGATTTTTCCAATTGTTTTGAGAATGGAAACATCAGCAAGAAAATATTTAAAAAATTTAAAACATCCACTTGATTTTCACATATTCCATCTTTGTGCAGATATTTTATATCAATTATTTAATCATATTTGTGCCTGTAATAATTTGAAGAAAGTTACATGTACCAAGAAGTTCAACAAGCAATAAACTCCAAAGACATTATTGGCCACTGCATTTTCATTTGAGGACTAAATTTTGATTTGTGGTCCTATGTGTTCGTTTTTTTTTTTTTTTTAATCAGTTCACCCCAAGCAAAGCAATAACACCACTAAGATGCACAGGGTTACTGGGAGTGGGGAAAAAAACCAAAAACAAACTAGAAAATACACCATTCTAGACAGGAAACAGAGTTAAACCATTACTTTTCAAAAGACCAGCAAGAATTGTGACAGGACAATAGGTGAACCTATCTGTTCCTATTTTATAAAAACTGGCTACATTTTTGTAATCTGGAGATAAAAAGTATAAGCATGAAAATACCTGTCATAATCCATAATTGTGTTGAGTCTATGAGCAATTGTAATGATTGTGCAATTTTTGAACTGTGTTCTTATTGTCTGTTGGATCAACTCATCTGTATCAATGTCCACAGCAGCCGTAGCTTCATCCAGAATCAAAATCTTTGTTTTGTGGAGTAGTGTTCTTGCCAAACAGATCAACTGACGTTGACCAACACTAAAATGAAGGAAACAATGAAAAGAAATAGGTTTTGGTCAAGAAATTAAGAAAAATGTTTTTTCTTTCAGTTATAAATAAAAAAAAATCATCTTTAATATTTAATGCTATAAGAGAAAGTAGGATGAATACAATTTGATCAAAGACAATTTTTTGGTTGAATTCATTTTTCTATTAAACTCTTTTATAAATGGTTGATTAAAATTACTTCAAATCTGATACGAAGTGTCATTCAATGGTTGAAGTGAGAGAAGAAAAGAAAAATAGAATTTGTGTAATAGTTGAAGCTTTCAAAATGAATTAGAACTTAAGAAACATAACTTTGTTATATCTATGGACTTGTTCATAACTTTATGAACTGAAAACAACAAAAATTAGTTTGAAAAAGAAAAGAAAAATTCAAGTATTCACTAGATTTTTTAATCATATCTCATACTAAACATTTTGTAGGTTTTTTTTTTTTCCATAATATCAGTTATTCCAAAGCAAACCTAAAATAAACAAATGAATCCTGCCATGATTCATATCTCAAACCTGGAAGTATACAAGTGATATATCCACTATGCCAGCATAATCCAAGGGATATTACATGAATACTGATCCTAGACAAATGTACCAATCCATTAGTGAATAATTATTTAACTTTCCATACAGACAGTATATCTGAAGAAGACAGTAGAACAGATAAAAGGATCAAGGACAAAAAAGTTGGAACAGATAAGTGTGTGTGTAAAATGATTCATCTACTGATTATATTGTTTTAAAAAATAATTTATTTTGTAAGCATGCACAGGTAGTGAAATGGATATCAGTGTGGAAAATTGAATCTGAGCTGAATAAAGGTTCCAGGATAGTTTTGCATTTATTTTGATCAAATGTTCTTGTGAAAGGCACAACTCATTTCTTCTCCCTCCAACTATGGGTTAAACAACATAGTCGACAACAAGCCATAGAGAAGGCATGACACGGTAATTCACAGATTAGAGACAAAAACTGGAATCTGGGGAGAGTCATGATCATCTACGTCCTTAAAGGACATGGCATTAAAAGGACAAAATAAAATTTTCACTGATATTTGTGTTTTGGGTGTGCAAGAAGTTTAACTATTAGTCAGCCAAGTTTGAATTCTGGCCAAATTTCACTTTCAAACAAATACCCTTTGGAAAGGTAACACCGAGTTGAAAACCAGCCCGAAGAGGGATGTGATTCATCAGACTATCTTGTCCTAGACACACTGCAGCTAAAAGGTTACAAGACTCATGACTTTTTTTTTTTTTTAATCTTTTCACCCCCAAACAAGGTGAAAATACCACTAAAGATACAATGGGTTACTGGGAGTCAAAGAGAATGAGAAGACTTTAGTGAGGAAAAAGAACAGGATTCAGGAAGACATGATGGTGACTAACATTGCATTTAAACTTTTGAAGATTATAGGTGGCACGGAAGCAAGAAATCTGAAGAGAATTCCACAGGTGGGAAATGTAAAAAAAGAAACAATTAGAGTAGAATTTTGGTTACATCTAGTTAATTCAACTGTAAAACAGTGATACCTAGTTACCAATCTAGTCCTACGCTTTCTCATGCAGTCAATGTATCAAGGAGGAAAACTCAGAACAATTGCCATGAAAATATTTATAGAAAAGACAGAGGGGAAGCCACATCATGGTGGCGGGAAAGTGACTGGAGTTAAGATATCAGGTCAGGATCAATCACATTACAGACACTTCTTGGGATTTTGTCAAGAATCTCAAGATATATCACAGGATCACCAGACCAGATATAGCAGCAATGTTCAATATATGAACGAATGGCAGATTTATGAATGTTCAAGGTGGATTCTGGCTAGAAAAATTGTCTAGCACAACACTGAACCAATTTTCCTAGCAGTAGACATAGCATTTTAATGTAATCATTCCACTTCATTTCATTAGAGAATGTGAGCCCAATAAGGCGCAGTAAGTTGCTCTCCTGGAAGACAAAAATGGTTCTCTATGGTGAGTTTTGTTTTGGAGGTGTTAAAATTTCTGAACTTGGAATTGTTTTCGCCACCATTCTTTCTCCTGTTGTTCTTAATTTTTATTGAAAGAATGCCTCCCAAGCCCACTATTTGGTGAGGGCGGTGGATTGGCCATTGATCCCCCCCCCCGCCACCAGGTCGATGCTTGGACTTAAGGTAAGCTGTACATTCACTTGTTATCATGAGGAAGAAAGCGGACTAACACTCGCTGCCACGTATGTTGGGGCATTTATTATGACATGGCAATAAATCCGGATAACCTTATTTTCTTCAATTTCTTTTTAGAATAGACAATGGGACTTATATCAAGTTAAAACTTAAAACTTAATGTTGCAAAAGGTTAAATGCAAGTGTCAGCCAGGACTCTTTGCAAATTACCTCCCCCTCTCATCGTTACCCCTGTTTTTGTTGTTGTTGTATGTATTATGTAATAGGAGTAGGTAGGCTTTCCTACCGCCCGGTCAACACTCCTCCCCCTTCTCTTGGACACGAGTAGAAGCTTACGCCTTGTTTCTTTTTTAGGAAGGGGTTCCCGGTACTCTATCACTGGCCTCTGTATCTCCAGTTGCCTTGATCTATCCACTACCCTTCTCCTCATCCTTTCTTCTATCACTCCTATCTGATCTTGCTCCAAAGTTTCTGTAACCCCTTGCTTCCTAGTGGCTTTCCGCCTTGCTTGGGGTGAAACATTTAAAAAGCCATTTCTTACTCCAGTTAATCACTGATTGGATGTCATTTTCAAGAGGAGCTGCCAGTTTTACTTTGTTGGAAGTACTACTAAGACAGGAATAAATAATCCTGTCATCAGTATAGATACCTAGTTGGGAACTGATAGTATCAGAAAGATGAAGAAATAAGCCTAAGGAACCCTGTATTAATGTGAAGATGTAGAAGTGTATCCATTCAATACAACCTACATGACATGATTTAAGAACAGTTGAATTAAGACAAATATTTATCTAGAGACACCATAGCCCTTACACTTGTGGAGAAGGCCAGCATGCCAAACCCTATCGAATACCTTTGAAATCTCTAAAGGCCCAAGCCACACCATTCTTATCTAAAGCCTGATAGATAAATTCAGTAATAACCTTGCAGTAGACTCTGAGAAATGAAATCCATACTGTTTATCTGAAAAAAGACCATCTGAAGTGAGATGTCTAATCAATTTGGCATTCATTAGAACCTCTAGTACTTTGCTAAAAGAGTGATAATTTGAGAGGTCAGAAGGTTCACCATAATTCTTAAAGACAGGAACTACAGAGGATTCCCAACAAGCTGGAAAGCAAGAAGCAGCAAAGCATTTATTGTAGAGCTTGGAGAGAACAGGAGCCAGCTCAGGAGCACATTTCCTTAGGAAAATTGCAAAGATACCATCAAATTCACAAGCCTTATGGAGATCTAGTTTGAAGATGATAGCAGAAACCATGGACAAAGTTATGTGCATATCACTCAGTAGAGATTCTGTTCAAGGGGTGAAAGTGAGGCAAAAATACTCCTGAAGATTTGGAAGCGGTTCCAGAATTTATGATTATCAATGCATTAATGCTTTTCAGACAGTGGTGTTCAGTGGTTTTGTCTTAAAATAATAAGCTTACCTAAAATTTCTTCCACCTTCATCACATTCATGGTGTATGCCATTCTCAAGAGCCAAAATAACCTCCTTTAAGTGAGCCTGTTCCAAGGCCAACCAGACATCTTCATCATTGTAATGGTCAAATGGATCAAGATTCATTCGAATTGAACCAGAAAAGAGAACAGGATCCAAAAAAAAAAAAAAAAAAAAAAGAAGAAGGTTGTGAGATCGGAAGCATGTGTAGCAAAAATGTAGAAAATAAAGTATAACATATTTTTAAAAATCCATATTATAATCAAAAACGTTTGCGGTTTCTCTGTCCTTTTTAGAAGGAGATATATATATATATATATATATATATATATATATATATATATATATATAATGTGTGTGTGTGTATGTATTCATACATACCTGTGGTAGAATTGTAATTTTTCTTCTTAGATCATGGAGACCAAGGTCAGCTATGGTGATATCATCAATGATGATCTTACCAGCTGCTGCTTCAATTAGACGAAACAAAGACAATGATAAAGAAGATTTCCCAGCACCAGTTCGGCCAACAATTCCAATCTATTAAAAAGAAAAAAAAAACCTTTACACATTAATCAAAAATATATCAAAGAAATCAACACATTCTATAAAATAAACTGTATATAATTAAAACTAACATTATTGTAGGACCAATATTGACTGTTTAGTACTCCTACTTCTGATAATAGTATTTATGTATATGTGCATATTATATGAAGATATATATACAAGCAGACACACACCATCTTTGTTGGCAACCAGTTTAAGAGAAAGAAAACTGAATTCCTAATTGTAGAAAAAGCAATGTGAAAGCACACTACTATTTCTCCCCACAAAATCATGGCAATTCACAAATAATCAAATAAGAAAAGGAATTTATGAAGAGTTATAATCACTCAATAAAAGAAAAATTTAAAAAAAAAGAAAAGGATGTGAAAATTACCCCATACCTTGACTATTATCAAGTTAATGAGATGAAAAAAAAATATGCACTAATCAGATTTGATCTTAGTCAAAACATTAGGCTGGTTTGAATTTATAAATAGATTTAGAAAAAAAAAAAAAAAAAAAAAATTAAATTTATAGCCATTTTTTTTTTTAACTATAATTTAAGTATCTGGGAAGCATCTTAACAGAAAATGTGACACTAAAAACTGGAGGTGTATTGCATTAGAAGGCAAAAGCTGCCTTCCAAAAGAAAAGGGAAGGGAACAGATAGTAAAAAGACAAACATTAATTACTAAGTGCTACAAAGGATAGGAAGTTGTGAAAAGCAATAATTACCCACCCCCAACACACAGAAGATCCAAGAGAATTACCTCCCTTTGGCAGTAAAATAAATCTTCCTCTTTGATCAGGTAAAAGTCTTAAAGGATGCTTAATCATCAAACTCACATGTTTTTCTACTTGATTTAGGACTAATGTCTTTTGCTTTTCAACACTTCATTGGTGTTCCCAATGAAAAGAAAAAAAAAATCCCATTGCTCAAAGAATTTATAAATTCTCTCCATACAGGACAGACACAGATCAATGAGATGAAGACCTTAATTTGACATTATCAGATCTGCATCACTCAACCAGTATTTCCAATGAATTTCTTCATTCTTATAATACTGGCTATGATTTTTCCAGTTTCCATATATATTTCCTACTACTGAAAACATTATTTTGTAGCTTCCTATATTTGAGTAGATCTCCTGTTGGTGGTTTCTCCTAGACAGGAGGATCCTGAGAGAGAGAGAGAGAGAGAGAGAGAGAGAGAATGAGAATATTTTCTTTTTTAAAATCTCAAAAGCACAGGCAGGTAGATATATTCACATTGCTTAAAACAAGATGAAAAACATGGCATCTTCTCAAACATGGGTGTCTACAAAACATCATTTGGAGTAATAGGAAATAATGTTGGATAAAATCTATTGATTACTTATATATACGAGGCATTCCAGGTCAAATCAACAAGGGTTTGACCATCACTGACATTTTTTTTTCAAATTTGATACACTTATAGAACTTCATGATATGAATTGAATGGTGCCTATTTTACATCTCTAGGTCAAGGGATATGACCATTTCACATTTTTCAAAACAGTGAATTTTGGAAAATAGACACAAAGTTTAAATATCTCAGTTGCTTTTTTAACCCACAAAGCTGAATTATATACCATTTTAAAGTACTTGGATAGATTAAAACAGGATTTATTTACTTTTTGTTTAGGAGATCAAAAAAATAAAATAAAATAAAATAAAAAAATAATAATTTGACCATAACCTTAACCTTTAATTTCTCATAAATTTGTCAATTTAAAAAAAATAAAAAAAAAAAAAAATTAGGTATGCTTTGTCTGTTTTATGGCAATATATGTACAAAATTTTGTGGTGGACTTGATTGTGGCCTGAGCTACAAGGGTTTTACTGGGTTGTCCAAATTCAAAATAGCTGACTTTGACATGTTATAGGCTAACATTTTCATATCTCTCAATATGGTCAAGTTATATCTTTAGAAAGCACTTTGAATGTTGATTAATATTCACATAAAAACCGTGATCATAAAATCAACAGAGTTTGATTTATTTATGATCAAAAATTAATTACATAAAATAACATGAAAATATGACATCAAATGTTTTTTTGGACCATTGATATGGTATACTAAATGCACAAAACAGTCAATTTTTAGTTTTTTTATATATATTTATATATATATATATATATATATATATATATATATATATATGTGTGTGTTATCAAAGGAAAAAAAACAAAGAATTTTTTATTATCAAATTATATTTTTGATCCTTTTTAGAAGGTTTGAAATTTTGGTTCAAAATCTTTTTTTTTGCATCAACAGAGGCACTAAAGATTATTATAGGAAATTTTAGCATCTTTTTTGCAGTGAAAAACTGATTGGAACTTCTTGCAAAAAATCAAATTGTTGGATTTTAATGAAACTTTCAGGACCTATTCACAAATGAATGAGTTTATTTATTTTTTTTTTATTTTATTTTTTTTAGAAAATATTAGTAAATTTAAAAAATGTTATCCCCTGCTATCATCCACCTATTTCGAGAAATTAAATTTTGTTCTGCTTAATGTTTATATTAGTTAAAAGCAGAATTCCTTGTAGAATAGATAAATAATTCTTAATATGGAATTTCTAAAGTGAAATGTTTTTCAATTATTACATATTAATTTAAGCCTGATAATCTTTTAATATGACCAAATTTTGATAAAAAGATTTTCAAATTTACATTTCTATGAATCCAGGTTAGTTACCTCATTAATACCCAAAATGGGATGGTGGACATCTTTGAAACCTATAAACAATACCAAATGTTAATTTTTTGTAATCAATGCCAGATTTATAATGGGCATCAATGGCTTAAAGACATAGTAGATATATAATATGCGGGTCATAAGTGTGCAGTGGTAACTTCTTAACCCAACCCCATGGCCTCAGGTAATTGGAATTAGGCCTGAAATCATGATGCTTAGATCAGAGAATTTGAATGGTATTACATGATTACATATATCTGTGTGTGAGTGTGTGTGAGAGAGAGAAAAAAAAAAGTATATCTTTGAAGGTTGGGACAATTTCTCTTTAATAAAAAGACATGGGACATCCATATTCTAACCACCCATTTTTATTAAACTAGGATTATTTTGCAATAGCAAAATAATCCTAGTTTAATAAAAAACTGATGCATGTTGAAATCCTCACAATATTATCACTAACATTTTTTTTGTCAAGATTTACAAATTGTGTTTCATTCAATTTTGCAAACCAATCAATGAAATATAAAAACTTAAAGAAAAGATATGCAAAAAATAATAATGCATTTTTATTAAATAAGTATTTGTTATTTTAATCATTAAATCATTTTTAAAATAGTGGGAGTATTTTGTATGTTAAATAATAAAAATTAATTTTCCAAAAAATTAATAAAAATATATTGTACACATCCTAGTAAAACCAACTGTACTTTATACCAACTTACTGGTTTGCCCTTTTCCCCAAAATTTGGTTTCAATCAGTCTATTTTAGAGGTTGTCACAGACTAACGGAAGTCACAGAATTTTATATATAGATAGATATTAAAATAAAATGGTTTGGATTAAAATACTAGCTGCTTAAAATAAGGAGTGGATGGAAATTTCCTGAATGTTTAATAAAGTGTTGGTTTGGAACAAGGATGTTACAAGCAGACCTTTTTAAAACATTGACCCAGTTTATCTATTAGAAATTCAAATGTTTTTATAAATACTCAAAGTGTAGTTGATTTTATTCCTATTTTGATGTTCATGTAAGTAAACCAGAATATATGGTCACTTCACTCTAAGACTGATCAAAAACATAACACAGTACACTTTGGAACAGAATGAACTAACCTTTTCAGTACTTTTAATCATACATGAGATGCTTTTAATTACAAGTTGAAGGCCTGGGCGATACCGGGTACTATATTTCTGGAATTCAATTTTACCATATTCAGGCCATTCTTTTTTAGGCTTGGTATCTTCAATGGACCAAGAGGCCTGGAAAAAAAGAGAAAAAAATTAAATTGATTGCATTAAGTGAGAATCATTTTCCCAAAAGAAGATGAGGGTGGGTAGTTAGAGGATGTTTGTATGCATATCATCCACCCTCAATTATCAAGCTCATACCTAAATCTCTCAGCCATAGGCTCTCAGACAACTCATCCAACAATGACAAAAAATGCCATATAACAATGCACTCAAGAAAAACATACATATAACAGCTAGAGTACATACCACCACAACCAAAACAGAAAAAGAAATATAATTTGGTTTAACTCACTATACAACTGTCAGAACAAACAATCGGCAGAACATTCCTAAATCTAATAGAAAAAACACTTCCCCATAACAAGCCCCTTATTGCAGCTGTAGCTAACTTTTACATTGTTTTTGTTAAATATTTTTTTTACTAAGAACATAACACAAATAAAAAAAATCACAACAAAAAAAACAACCTGCAATAGAGCAAAGTCCCCCAATGCAACTGCAGGGACAAACCCACATGCCCACTACAAGGAAACCACCTACAAACAAACATAGTATACAAAGCTAAGATCAATGCAAATAACACAACAATGCACTATATTGGTGTCAAAGAAGGAACATTCAAACAAAGAAAATATACACACAGCCTCTCATTCTCCAACAGAAAATACTCCAACAGTACCACACTATCCACATACATATGGCATCTGAAAGACAAAAACATCACCCCCAAAATAAGCTGGGAAATTATAAAAACTGCACATGCCTACCTTGCCTGCAAGAAAAAGTGGTGATAATCACCCACACACAACAAAAAACATTACTAAACCAAAAGTCAGAAATAATCTCAAAATGCAAACACAAAAAAAAAAAAAAAAAAAAAAAAAATATCTAGTATGACAATTCAAACCAAATGGATAACACAAACAAAAATGAACACAAACAGGAATGAACCTACCAAAAAATGGTTAAACGCTAGAACCACAAACAGGAATCAATAACACTACAATAATCACTACGATAACAGTTAGCATGGCCATCATGAAGATATAACCATTAACACTCCAAAATTATTATTTTATGACTTCTATTATAGTTGCTATTAGTATTGTTGTTACCACTTTAAGAACAATTACTTCATAACCACCACTACCACCATTAATACTGCTTTTTATCATTATTTTTATCATTGTCATCATCATTATTATAATTACCACAACGATTATCACTGTCATTATTTTTTATTATTTTATTTATTTTTATTAATTCATTATTTCCTTTTTTTGTTATGATTATTATTGTTTCCATCATTATTAAGGATAACTTTACTATTCTTCATAACAAATAACACATCAGTTATTATCAATACATCAATAATAATATTACAACTAATATTGCCATTAACATGATCACAATTGTTAATAACACAGCCACAGTTATTGTTGTTAAAAAAATACAAACATCATCACCATGTCTACAGCAGAACCCAACTTAACCCATGTGGTAATAGTAGACCCAGATCAATGAGTCTACATATGTTTGTATAAGTGAGTACATGTGAGTACATGTCTACTGGCCCAAACTGCTGACCTGTAAAATGTAAAAGCCATCCCCACCTACCCTCTACTCAGAGAACATTGCTACATATGGATCGCTACAATCTTGACACCGAAATAGACAGAACAAGAGAGGGGGAAGAGCCATTACTCACCTCAGATTCAAGAGATGAATATTCATTAATTCTTTCCACAGAGACGAGGTTAGATTGTAAGGTGCAAAAATTGACAACTAAAATTTGAAGGTTAACTGTAATCTGAAAGAAATCAGATATGAAAACAATTTGTATGAATTAAGATTTTCAAAATGTGACTAAGTTCATTGATAATATTTATATTTTTCATCATCATAAAAGACATGAAATGAAATTATAGACTAATATGCAAATAATTTGAAATTAAATAAATTTATAAAAATAAAATGTTTACAAATTTCAGGCATGAATGTTTATAAACATTTAAAATTCATGTTTTCAATTTTTAAAAAAGTTTTTCCTAATAATTATTGAAATAAAAAAAAAAAAAATTAAAAATTATTACCAAAGAGCAGATGGCCCAAAAATATTGGCCAGAGACCACAGAAGCAATAAAGTGGACACTTTATCACATTTGTTTGTCCAGATCAACACAGCTTCTTAAACAGAAGACAAGTTGAGAATGAAACCTGGAACAGTCAATGGGAGATAGCAGAAGATCTACTTGGCTGCCAAAACTCTTCCTGATACCAATCACCCAGAGGCTAGATTTGGTAGCACATGCTGTGCCAGGAGGAAAGTTGTTCATCTAGTTCAATTCACAGCTCCACATGATAGATGTAGCTAAAATCCAGAAAGTTCTACATGATTGATGCAACTAAAATCCTGAAAGAAGATCAATATGGTGGAGGAATGTAATGGGCAAACTAAAAATTCCCATGTTGGCATGCACTTACAGGATGGACCAGTATTCATTCGTATCAACAAGTGCTCTGTTTTAATTCATAAAGTGAATTAAATTATATTTTCTGCATCCAACCACTTGGCTAGAAGATCACTGATCACAATATATTATTACAGTTAAAAAAAAAAAACAGAAAACTATTAACATTACAGTATTAGATTCATTCCTAGAACTTGTAGCAACATGTATTACAGGGATGTTATATATTAACAAAACCTGGAAGTTTCAGCTAAATTGAACAATAGTAAAGAGATTTGCCATTTAGAATGTATTAAACCTTCAATGTCTATAACTTGCACATGTAAATTATTATCAGTTTACTAGAAGAGATAAAAAAGGATTAATTGATTTGTTTTTATGGGTTATTTAAAGCAGAAACATTTTAGGAATGTAAGAATAATTTTTTTTTTTCCAAGTGAATTTTGCATTAACAATTTTGGAGAGATGATTTTTCCAGATACAAGTCTTACTATTTAACCCATAGCTGGGAGAAGAAAAGATGGATTCATACCTTTACTAAAGGCATTTGTGCATAAGTGAATGTAAAGAACTCAACTCTCCACTATTACATGACCTGCAGATCCATTCCTTCTGCCAGAAAATGACTACAGCTAAACAGAATTAAAGTAGTCGTAAAGTAAATGGACAGTAATAAAAATGTATCAGATTCAAATTTTTCCAGATACAAGTTCTACTATTTAACCCATAGATAGGAGGAGGAGATTGATTCATAGCTTTACCTAAGGGTATTTGCACAGAAGCGAATGCAGCAAACCTGACTGGAAATCTAACTCAGCAGATAAAAAGGAAATACAACAATGTGAATTATGTAGACAAACAAATGTCAAATTTAAATGAATTATGACAATCAAAAATTACATTGTCAAATTCCATGGCAAATCTGAAAACACTACCAAAAATCATGTAGAAGGTGATAAACATTTAAATCTGAAGTACTCTTAACTATGATGTGATATGGATTCAGTAGAGTATTTGTAAAATCTGTGATATGAATATGCTATGAATATCAATGTTTACCTGAAGAGCATATGTTAATGAAAGACCAACTTGTCCTCCATTTAAGATATTTCTTTCAGCAACACTAAAAACAGCAGCAGCAAATGTGATTAAATTCCCAATAAGTTCTAGTCTGAATCCAAGCCATCTGTAAAAGAAAAAAAAAACGTTTTCATTAAAGATAAAATAAGATGACATAATTAACAAATACACTACACTCCCTCTTTAAAACTTAATCTTGTTTTTAAACTTTTATTTTCCATCAATAGCAAACTTCCTTCATGCATAAGTTATAACTATGGAGCTTACCATATTTAATAGCATATAAAACGTATTTTTTTCTCAAATATTAAAATTTTATATGTGCATAGCTGAGTGGTTTGAATTTCCCCATGGTCAATTTGTCAAGGAGCTGACACCTTCATAATATCAGCCTGGGGAAATGATCTTGGCACACAGCACTATAGAGAAATACCAGAGAAATATACCATGATCTGAACCAAGCCTTATAAGTGAAATTGGATAGACAAAAGTATTCAGAAGCTATTGATGGTTATGCTAACACAGGGGGTCATCAAATGGGGTCCAAGCGACCTCCTAGGGGTTCGATGATAGTAAAGGGGTCAAATGGGGGTCAGTGTGTAAATGACAGAGCAAAATTTTAGTTAGTGTACATGTCGTATTCTTTGGTGCAGATAAAAGAAAGGCACTGAGCTTGACAATCAGAATGAAAAGCCTTAGCCACATCTATCCAAGTAGCTTTTAACCATTTTGAGACTTATTTAATGTTACATTGAGTATTGCTTGCTGCTTTTTTAATTGTTCTGAGTTGATTTTCAAATCTCCTTTTTTTCAACCTCTAACTGTAAAATAGAGTTCATGATTATGAAGGTCATTTGGCCCAATTGATATAATTGCATAAAGTATAATGCAAAATTTGTTTAATTATCATATATACTCATATATAATGTGACCTTTGAAGACCCAATTTTGAAGCTAATTTGACTACAGTAAATGGATATATAGTTTGGTCAATGGTGCGGCCAGGCCCAGCAGTATATATGCTAATTTTATATCTCATGTATGACGTGGCACCCCTTAAAATTAGCTTCAAAAGTCACAAGATATGTGAGTATATATGGTAGTTAGTACAATTGGATATTAGTAGCAGTTATGCATTTCTAGTCAATAGCATCAACTATTTAGGCTTTGGTGTACTGAATATATTATTTGCTTGACTCATTTTGGTTATTTAATATATTTTCTTAAATATATTTTTTGGGGAAAATTCTGAACCCTATGACACTGGGAGAAAATTTTGAACATGATACAAATTTAACTTTTTATACATTTTAACATTTTAATTGCCAACATCAGTGCGAGTTATATGGTTCAAAGATATTTTAATTGGAGGTTGCTGGGAAAGGAAAAAAATAAAAGGGTGTCTCTGGTCAAAAAAGATTGATGACCCCTGTGCTAACACAAAGCTACAAGTTATGGGCGGGTAGACACTCTTTAGCCTTGGTTGGCAATCTATCTGGAAATGGTGTCTCAATAGCCAGGTTATTCACAGGAATGTACAAGCCTTAAAAAAATATCTCACCGAATTTCTTGAGAAATAAATCATGTGAGTTCCATCTAATGCAGGCAGAAATAACACAAAGTTAGAATTTCATTAATTTGTAATAAATGCATGAAGAGAAATGTATTTTGAAATGAGCCAAATGAACAAAGTTCCAGTAACATTCAAAGTTGCAAACATTTTCAATAATATTTCTTGTTGAAATGGAAGTTTTGTAAGCATCAAATATAGTATTTCTGTCAACTTTTCTAGTGATTACATCTATACAGTAAATTCATGTTAAAATTTACATTTACGTAACAAAAACAATTTCATTAAATTCCATTAAATCCTACCTTTGACAGAATGAAATACTACTACTCACTTAATGACCAAATTCCATTCCAGCTAATGAGCTGGTCACTAAGCGAGAAGTACTTGACCTCTATTTCTGGCATACCATGCATGTAATGGTTTTACATCCACCAGCTTCAGATACCTTTAATCTGATTTCTAGTTTATCTCTAAATGTTTAAATAATAGTGTACTGAACAGTAAATATAATTAACAAATCTAAAAATCAGTTCTGTATTCTGCACATTATCCCAGTTTGTATACTGTAAATACAGTACTAGTAAATTTTTTTTTATTTTTTTTATAAGCATTTCACCCCAAGCAAAGCAGGAGTGCCACTAGCACATAAGGGGCTACAGAAAGTGAAAGTAAGAGTAAAGAGGGGGGTGTTTGAGGAAAGGATAAAGAGAAGGACGGGGATCAAGATCATGGCATCAGAAGATGCCAATTGACATTACATTTAGATTTTTGAAGATGATAGTTATCAGGGAAGCAAATAAGAGGAATTGAGTTCCACTGGTGGGAAGTGCGAGAGAAGAAGCCGTTAGCATAGAAGGGGTGTTTACAATTAACTGTTTCAACAGTAAAAGGGGCTAGGACTGAGATGCCAACCTTGTTGCTTGCTTAAATTCATGCAGTTAGGGCACCAGTGAAAATAGCTTGTCAGAGCAGTTGGCATTAAAATATTTGTAGAAAAAGACAGAGAGAAGGCACATCACATCTGTGAGAAAGTGACTGGAGTCGAGATGCCAGGTCAGGACCTATCACATTGCATATCTGTTTTTGAATTTTGTCGAGAACTGTGAGATGAACAGCAGGACATTTTATTAGTAGATTTATTCTGAAGAAAGTGAAAACAATCAAAGTTTTCATACAATACCAGTGAGTTGGATTTACTTATTTTATGAGATTTTAAAGTCAGTCATAAGTTTGAGAAAATTCATTAAGTGAAGTGTGACTGTATTAGAAATCCACAGGCAAATAAGATTAACTTTTTATTTCTATTAATAGACAGAAACTCAGTTTTTGAACATAGGATCAAACCTTTTTTGTTTTTTTCTCAATTTTGATCAGGTATGAATTGTAACAATTAAGACAGGCAATCCATATAGCATTAGTATGTAGTAAAACAAGACATTCATACATTAATCTATTAATAAGGTAGTACATACTTATCGAGTATAAGTAATGATTCTTATAATATATTGACTAATCTCACAATGGTCCACGCCAGTCTAGAATGTGAATAAAACTTCCTGTATTCCTATGAGAAAAATTTCTCCAGAGATTAGGAAAAAAAAAAAAAAAAAAAAAAAAAATGCAGGTTTCAATACACTCAATTTTATTTTAACCATGATTCTATTAAGGATTATGAAGTCATTCAATAGTTAGAGTCATGGAAAATTTTCTTGCACCCAGTAATGGCAATGAAAAAAATTTTTTAGAACTGAATGGTAAAGTGGCAAAAAATATATTTTTTTTTTAAACTAAGAATATTGCTGTTTAGTTGTTGGGGAGAAAAATTGCATTTTCACCAACACCACCATCAAATTAAATGTTTCTAAATTGATATGTCATTACTTGAAACCAAATTATATCTATCTGTTGTAAATATAAAAATAACCTTTTATCTCCAGTTTTCCAAAGAATGAAATCTAAAATTTTTTGTAAGCTATAGTAATTTATTCTTAAGAGTGATACTCACCGATTTGATGCAAAATTTGTATAGAAGAATGCATTTGTTTTGTCAACCTTTTTCACAGATTCAAGATGGAATCTTTCCTGTACATTGAAGGCACGGATGCAAGATGTTCCTGACAGGGTCTCACTGAAATGACTGAAGACATGTGATCGTGTGATGGATTCAATGCGTTTCAACTGGCGTGAAGTAGGGATGTAATAGCGCTGAAATAAAGTAATTAGAACTTAATTCAAACATCCAGAAGACAGTTAAAAAAAAAAAAATACTACAAAAATAGAAATATTGACTTACATCAAAAAGCTCTTTTATCCCACCAACTTTATGCTTTTTTTTTTTAAATCAATCTACCTAGGAATTTTGCCAGATCATTAGTAGATATCTATGCAGATGAAACCATTGTTTATGGATGCACTTCAAAAAAGCCAGATGATCAGAGCCTTGTAACTGATCTCTTCTCTGACCTAGCTCTAACAGCTCAATAGGGAAAAAAAATTGGCTTGTAATTTTAAATACCTTAAAAACCAACCTAGTATCATTTCATCATGCCCATTCAGACCCTGAGTTTTCTCCTGTCACAATGAACAGTTGCACTCTCAATGAGATGCCATACTTTGAACATCTACTAGGTTCACTCTAGATCTCAAGTGGAACTCATATACAATCCATTCTGAAAGATGCTGGAAAAATGGTCAGCTCATTCTATCACTCCAGGAAATACCTGACTCTTTCTGCCATCAGTCAAGTGCCATACATTGGGCAATCATGTCTTCCAAGCTAGGCTGCTGTTTCTTTCTATGGTAGACTGGTTGCCACTCAAGGCTATAAGACCCAGTCTGTCCTGCTGTATTTAACCCATAGCTGGGACAGAAGAGATGGATTAATACCTTCCCAAAGTTTATTTGTGCTTAAGTGAATGTAACAAACCTTCGAATTTGAACTCAGCTCTCTGATTTCTCATTCCGAGAGCAAAATTCAAATTCCAGTCAGGTTCATTACATTCACTTATGCCATACTTTAAGAGTCAAATTAGACCAAAAATAGAGTATTTTTGCCACATCTGAACTCGAGCCCCTTGGTCCTATTTCACTCACTTTCCAGCCTTGATAGAGTTCAAGATTATTTATGTGGTCCTCAGGAGAATGACATTTTTCACTCTACAACCATTTTCCCCAGATGTAATGTTGCAAGCCTGTTATTCTATCACCATGGCAAATAGTTATTCGAGCTCTGTTGTTTAGTTTCACTAGTTCTAGGACACACCATGCTACTTCCAGTGATTCAAATCATCCTCTATGTCCCAATTGACAGAAAAAAAAATTCTCCCCCACCTCCCATTCTAGAACTGCCACTTTGTGACAGACTCCCACGGATGTTTCCCCTGAACAATACAATCTTAACTTCAAGTTAAGGGCCAATTGTTAACTTTTTTTATCCTCAATCTTTATTTCCTACACACCACATTCATAATTACTATTTTAACAGTAACCTACTACCTTGAGGGGCTCTCAAGCCCTATATTGGGTAAATTTTAGGATATAAAAATTTGTCAAATTATTGTGGCTAATTTGAAATAGTATCTCAAGTTCAAAGTGGTTGCAGAAGAAATATCACAATCAAGAATCAAAAACCATGCTCTTCATTTATATCAGTTACATACTTGCACATGCAAATCACCAACAGTTTTAAAAAGTTTTTGTTCTGTGCAAGCAGCATGATGGTATTACAAATGGCAACCATGACCAAAACATTGATCAATCATCCGGGGGCACTTAGCATTGGGTAAGTTTGGGCCCCTTGGTCCTATTTCACAACAATTATCTTTTAAACTTTATCAGTCAATTATAAATGGAATAAATTGACTATTGCTAATACAATAAATGAACTATGAAATGTCTGCTAATCTTTTTTCTTGGAGTTAAGATTGTCAAAAATACTACCACTAAATTCTCTTGTTATTTACATTCAAACTAATTCAGTGTTATTACCACAATGTTTTGTCCATTGTGCCCGTTGGCCTTCTTCAGGCATCTGTTGATCCAGCTAACCTTCAGGGAATTTCAAACTGAATCCTTTATTTAATCTATGAGGAGTAGATTGTTCTCATTCCACTGTCCATATCTAGGGATATCTCATCTTGTTCTTATTTAGTACTGCTCAATTATTGCTTGTACTGTTTCCACCGAGTCTAAATCTGTACTACATGTCTTGGGGGATCAAACTCACAATCACTAAATTCATGAACTAGCATTTTAATTCAATTGATTATTGTCCCTGAAGGTTACTTGGCTCAACAAACATGTGAAGAAGGTCAGAGGACACAAAGGTTGAAATCATGATAACTCATCAAACTGATACAGAATCATAAAGAACTTTATCAGATAACAGAAATGGCATCACCTTCAACATTAGCAACAACTAAAATGGATAGCTCAAAGAGAAAATGATATAATCAGGATGTTGATATTCCACACTACTTCAAACAAAAGGCTAAGAAGGAAGCCCAAACCCCCACCCCTCAATACCGGAAAGAGTGATGACAATTACTGGACTTAAGAAACATATTTCTCTGTAAAATTGTTTTAATGGAAAGATTTTATAAATTTCAACCAAAAGTAGCACTGGCTGTCCAGTCAATGAATGTCTTATAAAGAAAACAGATAATATTACCATTACCAGTACCATCATCCCAGATATTAATCAAACTTCTTATTGTTACGAATTCTCATTTTATCTGGGTGAGAAACAGAGAAAGAATCTGTTGAACAATGGATGTGATTCCTCATTTCAAATAGTCTGACCATTTTAACCACATAGAAAGGTGGAGCAGTGGGGTCAAAACAAAATCTTGACTCACTAAATTTAATCATTTGCTTTAGTTTCACAATTAAAGTAATGCAATCCTGATACACAAATCACAAATTTAAACAAGGTGAGGATGCTCAAACCCTTGGCCACAATGACTTACAATTTTGTGTAAGTATAACCATCAAGTACATACAGCTTGATAATCAACTGTGTCAGTTAAAAATAGGTTATATGATTGAATAGATAAATTTTGTTGGTTACAATTGTTTTGATAGTGTGGAACATAAAAACCCAGAAGTTAGTCAACTCCATGAACAGGCACTGTCTGTTATCAGAGTTTTCAAAACATTAATATTAAAGTCTGAAATGAACTTTTACTGACAGAAAATGAAGACAGAAAAGTGAAAGTTTGTCATTATTGTAGGAATTCAACAATTGGAATTAATTTGGTCCTTTCCTCTTTGTGTTGTCTTATATATGGTAAACCTGTTTTAAGTACACATATTTTGCGGCATACAAGATCCACCGATTGACCCAATATCTGACAGACAATATCACCCTTCATCCTACACAACTCAAGATCTATGTCACTCTTGAGAAAGTGCTCTAAAATCTAGAGTGCATCTTATATACAGCAACACATGATAACTGGATAGATAAGGTGATAAAATGTAATAATTTTACTTACTTGGATGAAGAAATACATAACTGAAAGTGGAACTGCAGCTGCAAGGAAGATTGGTGTATTCATACTGATAACTAACACAGTGCTAAGAATGACAAAGATATTAAGAATGACCGAGCGGAACAAGTAAGGCAGCATGTTGTCTACAAAGCCTATATCTTTGGCAAAACGATTCAGGATCCTTCCCAGAGGAGTGGTGTCAAAATATGACATAGGAGCTCTCAAGACACAATGCAGCATATCACTGTGAAGAATTTTGGAGGCCTTTATCTGAGTAATGGCAGAAACCAATGAAAAAGCAAACATTAAAATAGCTGGAAAAAAGAAAAAAAAAGACCAGTTAAAAAGAATTTTACTTGATCAGTTATTTAGTGCATTACATAATTATTCATTCTGCTTATTTACACTGCGTGCCAAATTATTATCGAGATAACTTTTTTCTAATATTTCAAAAACCGTCCAATCAATTCACACAAAATTTTCACCCAATGTCGGCAACACTGATCTGCGCAATCACTGAAATTTTTGTACTGATCTGTGCAATGTAAACAAACTGATGCCATATTTGTTATCAGCACGGTTATTTGAGTGTGCCAAATTATTATAAAAGTCTAAGAATTTAGTGAAATGATGGGCCATAAAAGCAGTTTAAGTGATGCTGAAAAGAAAATTATCACCTCAGAACTCTCAAAAGGTAAATCTATCCTAGAAATTTCTAAAATGATAGGGAGGTGTCATCAAACAGTGAAAAGTTTACCGCCGACCCTACACAAGTACGCAAAAGGGCAGATAAAGGCAAGCCGAGGGTTATTTCACAGTCTCATGTCACGACTTAAATGAGAGGCCACAAATAACCCTGGACTCACCAATCAAGAGCTTTTCAGTCGCATTGGGGATCCTACTGTGTCTAAAAGTACTCGGTGTCAGTATCTGAGGGAAATATCAACAACAGTCAAACCTGTATCGAAGCCTCCGTTGACGAGAAATCACATTCAAAATCGATGGAAATGGGCAGAGGACAATATGAAGATTGACTTCCCTAAAGTTTTGTTCACAGACAAAACTCGAGCAACACTTGATGGGCCAGATAGATGGTGCAAAGGCTGGGTAATGAACAGACAGAATCACCATCAGAGTTTGAGACGCCAACAAGGCGGTGGAGGCATAATGATCTGGGGTGGTATTATTGGAAAAACATTAGTGGGCCCATGGAGAGTACTAGATGGCGTCAAAATTACTGCTGATGCATACATAGCGTTTATGAAGGAGCATCTTGAGCTGTGGATGAAAAGGCAAAGAGTTGCCTTCAGAAGGGCCATTGTTTTTATGCAAGATAATGCTCCCTCACATGCTGCTCACAAGACTACTGAATATTTGAAACAGGCTTTGATGAACCTCAAAAAATGAAGTGGCCAGCAAATTGTTTGGATTTCAACCCAATCGAAAACCTTTGGAGCATCATGAAGCAAACACTACACCGACGGACGACAATTCAGGAGCAACGCTGAGTTGTGGGAAGCAATTCTTGACATATCTCGTGGCATTACAGCAGATGACATCCTACAATTAACAAATTCTATGGATCGTCGACTTCAAGTAATTTCAAAACAGGGAAAGCACATTCCCTATTAATTTGTTTAAAACTGTGCCTTTGTTTGTATCTGTTATTTGTTTGATTATCTTATTTATTAGCTTCTTTTGATCATAAACATTCACGTGCAACATTAATAAACATTTTGTTTGCTCAATTCTGGGAATTTTACTAAACCTTTCTAATAATTTGGCACGCTCAAATCACCGTGCTGATAACAAATATGGTGCCAGTTTGTTTACATTGTGCAGATCAGTATGAAAATTTCAGTGATTGCTTGGTCAGTGTTGCCAACATTGTGTGAAAATTTTGTGTGAATTGATTGGAGGGTTTTTGAAATATTAGAAAAAAAAGTTATCTCGATAATAATTTGGCACGCAGTGTATATGTATTACCATTATACTTTTCTACCATGGATCAGAGTGTAATATTTGCCTGATTCTCAGCCCATCTGAGTCAGAATCAACTACTTTCTGATGAAGAACTCTACATAATAAATATGAAGGAATTGAAAACAGAGCAGGTGAGGAAAAGAGTATGAAAGAGGAAAAGTAGGTGATAAGATAGTTATAGAAAAATGAAAAATCTTTTTTTTTTAATCATCCCCACCCCCTAACAAGGCAATAAAGCCACTAAAATGCAAGGAGTTACTGAGTGTTAGAGAATATGAGAAAAAAAAAACTATTAAGAAGAGAGAGAACAATAAAAAAATCAAGAATTAAGACAGAAGAACTGAAAAAAGAATTCACACACATTTCACCATAAGAGATCTCATTTTAAAATATGTATAAAATAAAAACTATGCTCAAAAAATATATATAGATATTAGTTTTATTCTTTTCCAATATAGTCAAATTCAGTAAAACAGTTTTGCACATGATATCAATTATATCGCACATGTACATCTGAATTACTTTGAATTCTAACATTAAGGAAATAAATTTTTTTTTAAAAAATGCCATGGGGATGTAACCAACAAAATCTTGTCGACTAGTCTATCATATTGACAATATCTAGTTCTTGATAATGACTGAGGTGGTTGAAATTGCTTGAATAAGAATAAAACAAAAAAAATGAACTTTGGACAGTTTAACCATGATTTTAATTTGGATGCATCTTTTTCAAAAATCGGAAAAATCCATTTAAAGCAATTAACAAGCACTATCATTTGAACTTGTTCACATTATATATATTCAAAAAATTAAAAAAAGTTAAAGTGATTTATCTGATTAGCTAACTCAAGAGTTTCACACTGAAATGCTCATTAAGGCCAGATGTTTAATATTATCAGATCTCATATTTATACTCTGAGTGAACAAATGCTAATTCCATCTTTCAAATTCTTAACATGCTTGAGTCTGCTAACAAGTAAGTTGAACATTTCTTCATTTATTGAATATTATAGTTCTAGTTATCTATTGAGTGCTTTTTGGCACAAGTTCTAACCTAAAAAACACTTGAAATTCTTGTAATTTTCATTCACTTGTATTATTATTACATATCTGCACATAATTGTGAATAGATGGAGATAAAAAAAAGGTTTGCAGGCTCGATATCAAGAAACACAAAAAAATAGAAGGCCGGTAAGAATATAAAATGCAATACATTAAATTTACAAGGAGGTACAGCAAAAAAATAAAAAAAAAAAAAATAAAAAAAAAAAAACAAGATACAGAAGAAAATATTTGTGTATTCCTTATTTTTAACATGTAAAATTAATCCATATTACTATAACATTTAGATAAAAATATGGATGGGCAACAAAGTTTGGAAGGGATAAGGAAGAGAATGAGAGATACAGGCAAAGGGGGAGAAGCATGAGATAATGGATAATCTTATACCTTTCCCCTTTGCCTATATGTTGTCATCCTTTCTTTTGTTTACAACCTCTCCATATTTTTGTCCGTTATAGAAATATGGATTAATTTCACATGTGAAAACACCCATGAAATTTCCATTGTCCCAGCTTATTATATATGATTATAGATGAAGGGTGGTAAAAGCTATCAACCTGGAAGGCAAGTGACAAACCCAGTTCTAATACCATTGAGAAACTGTCTTGTCTTATCAGATATTTTGACAAAATGTCATCATTAGCATACCATATTAGTTGGGGAAAAAACAAGTGAAAACTTGGATAAACAACTCTCCTGCAACTCTTCAGTAAAGTTGTTACTACCCCACCCCCATAGTTTACCTTGAGATAAATCAACATAATAAAAGTGTCAAAAAGTTGCCACTAAAAGACAAGAACACATTTAGTCACAAACACAGGAGTTTTTAAAGTATTTTGCAGGACATTGTTAGAATTGTCTTCTATTCATGAACAAAATTTAATTTTTTTAACTTAAAGAAAAAGCAACATATGATGTGGGGGTGTTTTAATCAAGGTAAGTCACCATTTTCTTCTTTACAACATACTGTATAGGGTTTCAGGTTTTTCTTTACTTGAATTAATGTACTTTAAATTAAGACATGTATAATAAGACTAGCAAAATCTTTGATTTTATGCATGATTGGGAGACACAATGACAAACCCTTTTGTCTACATTCACCCTCAATACAACTCAAATAATATAATTTGCTAGACATCAGTCACGATCACTAGGTAGATACATAAAATTACAGCTGACAAATCACTTAAGTAATTTTAGTTTGATAAGAAAGTGCTTAAACACTCATACACAACTACTTGCTCCTACAAGAAAAATCCTTGTAAATAATGCAGTCATTCAAAGAACATCTAATTGTAAAAAGCATCAAGATAACTGAAGCACTTTATAGGAAATGGTTTAAACCAAATCTCAAACTTACTCTATTTGAGAATGGCAAAAACGTATCTGGTCTTTTAAAGACATTCCCTACATGGAATTACTACTACTTCCATTCAACACAGCTTAAAATTGTTACTACTACTTCTACACAATGCAATTTAGAACATAAACACATGAAAATATACTAACAATAAACTTCTTGCAAATTGCTAATTGTACAAAAGCACTTATGACAATAATCACCACAGAAAGTTTTAATTCCCATAAAAGTAAAACTATGAGGACATTAGAAAAACTGAACAAATAATTTTCCTTGTCTGTCAATAAAACCCATATAAAAATTGCTTCCTAAATATACAATAAAATTATAGCAGTTAATAGCATAAATGTCTTTATTTCTAAAATGTTAGGAATACTTCACCTTGAGCAACTCCAAGACCACCGTAGATTCCTAAGTAATAATTTGTTTGAGCAGTATAGGCAGAAGTGTTGAAATTGGAGACATTCATAAGGAGGGGATCTTGTGTCCAATTTCGCAGCCAAACTGAAGAAAAGATGCTACTGAACTGATAGAGGATTCCAAATAGCAACATGAGGGATGTAAGAACAAAACCCATTGCTTGAACATACTTCATGTATACCTTTAAATTTACCTGAAAAGAGAAGGAAAAAAGAGAGATAAGGAAATAATACAATAAATATGCAACAAAAATGGGTTCTCCTGAACATATTCACTGGTAAAGGAAAAAAAAAAAAAAAAAAAATATTTTTGGGTTAATTTTTTCATTTAGTAATTATTAAACCTTCCTCTACCAATAACATTTGCCAGAACCTAAATACAGATTTCTTTTTTTTTTTTTAATCATTTTAGGTAGAGCTCTTGTTCATAATATAAATGGTATCAAATCGACCCAACTTTAAAGAGTTATTTGTGCTTTGTCTTTATTTACAAATATCAAGTTTGAAATTGTGACCATGTCATTGATAACTGCATACTACTGATATCCTTTTACTACCAATTTTGTATTTTTCTCATTTTTTTTTTTTTAATTTTTTTTTCTTTTTTGAATTTTCTGGAGCTACTTGTATAAACACAGATAATTATTTGTCTTAAATGAAGAACAAACTGATACATTTTTAGGTTATTTAATATTTATTAATGTATTTAAATGACTTATTTCATTAACATATCACTGGGCATGTGAAATGCAGTTGTCAATGATAGGGTTGTTTCAAAATTGACGTTTGTAAATAATAAATTACAGGTAACTCAAAAAAGACAGGGACACTTATATTATGAACAGGACCACCCTTCTAAAATGGAAAAAAAAAAAAAATTAATGTTTTTCAATGCTAACAAATGTCATACTTAGAGGACTGATTGATTGATAGATTTTTTTTTTACAGCTTAATGTTTTTCAGGTTATTTAAAGCCAGCAAATATTTTAGGATTGTAAGAATTGCTTTGGAGCTGATAATTTTTACAAGTCCTACTATTTAAGAGGTGGATTCATAGATTTCCAAAGTAAGTAAATATTATGAAACTTACTGGAATTAGCTCTCTGATTTCTCATTCCAAGTTGTTATACATTACAGCAGCCATACATCCAAGCTTACAGCTTGGTATTCCCAAGCAGTCATCCATCTAGATCTACTGACCAGGCTCAATTATGCTTAGCTATGGTGATCAGATGAGAACCACTGTTTCAGTGTGATATGGTCATAATTTCATGCTTATAGGAGGATCTAATGAAGCTAAACAAAAATTATTCCATCAAATTTTTTTTTTCACTATTTTTTTTTTTTTTTTTTACAAATGGATTAGTTAATCTCAGCAGTGTCAATAAATGCAAAGATGTTGATGTATTCACAAAAAAAGTATAGCAACAGGCATTTAATTATTGGATTAGATTTTTTTATTTACAAATTGACAAATTCATGAGGCATTTTCTGATAACTGTGCTAAATAACAATTGTCCCAGTCGTAAATCTTATAAGGAAAGAAAGCCTTGTGTGCACAATCAGTGTGTTTGATAACAAAAAAACTTTAGCTTTTGGTAACAAACACTTATCCAAAGAAGCAATTATAACAGAACAACATACATTGTTGGCAAGTTTGATTGCTGAGAAAAAAACAAAACCATTGCCATATTTGACTTGATAATTTGTTCAATATTGGAACATCAAACCCAGTCACCTTTTCAACTACATTCGTCACCATTGCTTACATTTAACTTAAAGGGAATTTTTTCAATTCATTTTAATAAAGCAATTTAAATCTAAATGTGTAGGTAGTATAACAGTTATTGGTATAATCTTTGGGATCTGTGTTACAAGGTTCAAGATCTGGCCTGATGTGATTCAGTAAATAACCCAAATCCTTGAAAGCAGAGACAATATTTTTGGGATTTTGAAATTGTAGTTCAAGTACCATATCCAAGAAGATAATTAAACTGATTGTTATCAGATGAAAATCTGCAGCTCTAGTATTTTTAGACTTAGAAAAACTCTAAAAAGTGAAAGAATAAATAATATAATAATAAATATAAATAAAAAAAAAAAAAGTAACGGAGTAGTAGAGTTCTCTACTGCCTTAACCAGGTATTGAACTCACTCTCTTTGGGTCCTGTCACTGGATCTAACCAATGCCTTTATCCCTTGTGCAGTTAAGGCAGTGGAGAACTTTCAGAGGGAAATTAACAAGAGATAACCGATAACCGACATCCATCTAACATGGCACGTGGAACTAGAACAGTCTACCTCTGTGAGCGAAATAAAGGGTTCAGTTCGACATTCCAACCACCTGAAGAAGGCCGGAGCGTACAACGGCCGAAACGTTGTGATAAATATGGCAACAAAGATGAGGGCAATAGTCCAAATAATGTACATAGTACCTCATCTCAGAAATATAGACAGACTCTAAATATAAGTTGTCCATCAAACTGAAGATGTTAAAGATCATAGTATTTTTTCATTTCTTTTTAAATTTAAGCTACTGTTTAAAAATAGCTCTAGAAAGTAAATGATTGGCCCTGTTGTTAATTATTATTTACTTTAGTGTTATTTTTAAATACAAAGTAGCTTAATTTTTAAAAAAAATAAATAATTGGTGCCATTGCTAAGAGTGGAGGTACAATGAAATAATGGATAACAGCTTGGATTGAGGAATTGGAGAGCCAAATTCAAAATTCAGTAGAGTTCATTACATTCACTATACAAATACCCTTGGGAAAGGTATGTATCCATCTCTTTCCTCAACTATGTGTAAATAGCAGGAGAGACTGGATTCTCTAGCCTTGAATGGCAACCAGTCTAGGGGAGGGACAACCATTTCTTAAAGTTTTACCTTTTTAAGAGACAATTTCTTGATTACTATAGCAGATAAATCCACTATATCCAAAGAATTTTAAAGAAATCATGTATTTTTGAGCTTTAATTATGTGCAATTAAAAAATTACTGTTAATTTTTAGAATACAGTAGTTAAAATTCAGTTACTCATAAGTAACATTTCTGATTTTAATTGCACATAATTGAAGCTCAAAAGACTTAACCCAGGCTTTAGTTTGTAAGCTTTTTACATAAGATTGATCAGGAAAACTAATACAGTAGTTGAGCTGATATTCAGATCAGAGTTACACCTGATGGAAAAGTTTTCTCTTACCTCTCCAGTCTCCATGAATTCATCTTCAGTCAATCGACTAATAACCATTGCAGGTTTTTTCTCTTTTTCAGTATCAGATCTATTTGATAAAACAGAAATTGACCTCTTTGCCAGACGCTGAGGTGAAGTTTCCGAAGATGTTGATGACCGTTTTCTACTGAATAATAAAAAAAATTTAAAAAAAAAAAACTTCAATAAGGAGAAGCCAGCCCCATATACTCGAAAGCTGCTACCTTTCATTTTATATACATAACATTCATAATAAAGTTAATTTAGATACTGAAAATTTAATAAAATCTTTCAGCATTAAAGAATATTTAAAAAATAAATAGTTCAGTTACATGATTTTGTACTCCATCTTTTCTTTTTGTAAAAAACATTTTAAACCATATCCTCTTGGCATGAGTTTAAACTGACATTTTTTTTTTCATATATCTAAACTATAATTATAATTTTGTAAAGTAAAAATTTCATGGTAATAAATATATTGGAAAATTTCTGAAATCCAGAAAATATGAACTTTAAAGAAAAATATGTTGAAAAGAGAAGGTATCAGCTTAAATAGACACCAAGAGGCAATGGGCTAAAACTTCATTACTCTCCTTCAAAAAATTTGATTCCTCTATACATTTCACTCAAACACATCAAGTCTAAAGATCTTGTTAGTTAAAGAATCAATCATTAATTTCATCAAGAGAAAACAGGACAAATACACTATCATTAGAAAGATTTTAGTGATGCAGTTTATCTCTCTCATATGCCTGTAGTGTCCACAAATTTTATGTGTAATGCTTCTTATTTCTAGAGAAACTATTATAAATAGCAATAACAAGACTTTTGGATAGAGCAATATTTTTAGCTAAAAGAATTTTTCCAGTCACCAACATTGTCTATGTACTTTCATCAGTAATGAGCAAGTATCTGGATAATGTGCTTGTCAAAATTGGCTGATAGTTCATCATGCACAATTTTTTTGTGAGATTCTTTTTTCCATGAGATGTTCAACTCAGCTCTAAGCATGTAGTTGCATGTCCTATCCAGCTTTGATTCTATGGTCTTAGGGATCCTACTGTTTCATCATACAAAAGCATAAACATGACAAGCAGCAGCAGCAGCACCCATCAGCTGGCAGGATTGTTAGGTTTAAGGTTTAAGTCCTATGAAAGAATAGTCTAGTGGATTAAAGTGTTGGTTTGTGAATTTGGTGGCAATTGTGAGTTCTATGGGCCAAGCAGCATGTACTTGGATTCAGTGGAAACAGGACAGGCAATAACTGAGCAGTACTAACAGCTGGACGAGATATCCCAAGACATGGGCAATGGAAGAAGGAAAACAGTTTACCCTCATAGATTAAATAAAGGGTTCAGTTTAGAATTCACTGTAGATTACCTGGGTCAATATACACCTGATTAAGGTGAGAGGGTACAACGGACAAAATGTTGTGATAACAGCAACAAAGATGAGGGGAATAGTTCAAATGCAAATAGTGTAAATATAGATTAAAGAGTATGCAAAAGAAACTGCATTTAAGATCACCCAACAGCTTTCATTTCCAGACAACATACAGTTTTTTGGGGTTTTTTTTTTTTTACATCTTTATAGGTAATTTTCTGAAAACTGAAAGAATACAAGCTACCTTAAGAATGTCTATTTAAGGTGTTCATAGAACCCTGTTGCTTAAAGCTGATAAATCCAGTCTTTCCAGCATTTACATATATATCTATTTATAATCTATAAAAGCCATTACCAAAAATAACTTACGTGGATGGCACATGCTTTTCATATGATCCAGTATCAACCAAACTTGTTGGGAGAAAAGTATCATTTTCAGATTCTATTCTTTGACGTTGGTACACCTCATCTAGGGAAACAAACATGAAACATTAAAACAAATTATTAGTGGGTAAGTTTAACATGTTTTACATCTGCAATTTCCTGCTAAATTGCATGCAATTAAGCTGTTTTTTTATAAGGTTGTGTATATAATAATACATTAGTTGAGATAAAACAAATTAAATTGTTAATAGCGTCATTCCATTAGCATCTTGAATTTGAGGATAAGAGAATCCTGATTCATAATATTTAAGAAAATTTCTTCACTGATAGGATATCTTCCTAAAAGTTGATAAACTAACAGTTCTATGAAAAAGTTACGCAAGCAACTTATTTTTCTTACCCTAATATAACATCATATTTTCGTTCATGAAAATGTTGATTATTTTAAGCCATCTTTTTGACTTTTTTTTTTTTTACCCAATGAACATTTTATCTTCAGATGCCTTCTTTTATGAGATTTTAATCCATATTTTCCTCACACTGTTTTAAACTGATTGTTCCCAACAATATATTGTAACCCTTATTATTAAAAAAAAAAAAAAGTCAGTTTAAACTTATGTCAGAAGGTTCCTACACTGTAGTCATATTTTTGATTGAAATTAAACAAAATCAACCAACTTTATAATATATAGATAAAATCATAAAATCCCAATTTTTATTTATTCTCTCCACATTTGTGTGTTCAGCAACTAACAAAGTCTTAGGTAAAAAAAATTACTATGTTCAAATAATACATTGCTAAAAATATACTTCTTTAATTCTGACTACATGCATTAAACAGAAAATTTAATTGCTAAATTGTCTTAAAAAGTTCAACACAAAACTCTTATGGGACAAAGGAAAACAAAAGTCTGCATTAATTTTTGTCAGTATTTGGAATTCAGGGGACTCTTTAAAATTCTGCAATACTTCTTTTCAGTTTAGGAATAAAACATAGTAATTCTTGTATGCATCCATCTTTCTATGGGCCGAATGCCAATTGGTGTCAAAAACATACTGGATAATCTCTCTAGTGGGAACATCCATAATTGTTGAAATCTATTGTTTTTGTTTTACAAACATTATCTGCACCACATATCTAACCATTTTTGGATAGCTTCAGGTTTTGAAGCCAGAGTTGTCCTTTTAGATTGGTTGCCAAATATGACCAGAAATATAACTAGTCTGCCCTGCTATTTAACCCATATCTAGGGGAAGGAAATTCTTTTATTCAGATACATAGAAATCTTAAGCTTATTTAATTACGGTTCTCTGAAATTATTTTTAGTTTTCAAAAAAATATTCTTGTTAGAAATATTCTCTTGTTTTACCAAAACTTAAAGTAGAATTTGGAATGAAATAGGGAGAAATTTATTGATTTTTTTTTTTTTTTTACAGCTTATCAACCTCTTTCTTGCAGGTTATTTAAAAGCAGAAAAAATTTTAGATTGTAAGAATTTTTTTTTTTAGAGATAATGATTTACTTATTCAATTTTTACTAATTAACCCATAGCTGGAGGAAAGGAAGCTGGATTCATACCTTTCCTAAAGTTATTTGCATATAAGTAAATATAACGAATATGAACTTCAATTTCCAATTCTAAGCCATTATCCATTACACCACCAGTACATCTAAGATTACAGCTTGGTATTCCCAAGTGGTCACCCATGTAGGAATTGACTAAACTTGATGTTGCTTAACTCTGGTGACTGTATGAAAACTTATTTCAACAGGATATGGCCATAAGTCTAAATAGAAAGAATACCTATTAATACAATACCCACCAAAGAACTATGTGTTTTTTCTTTTTTTGGTTTTTCCTCAGTCAGACCATTTAAAATATACTAGTTGAAGTAACAGAGTCAAGCATGGAATAACAATACAGAAGAGGAAGTATTTCACATTTTATTCATAAGTTGAAAAGATCAGCTTTTAATTTCTATATATCCAATAGGTAATTTATAATTTGTAGAAAACAAGGTGCTTACTGTCAGAGTTTTCCTCATCTGATTGCATATTAGTTTCTTGTGAATTGTAAGTTTTCAGGAACTGAGAAAAAATGGGATTGCTTGCAAGCAATTCCTCATAAGTTCCAATTCCTGATATTTTTCCATTTGAAAGCACAATGATGGAATCCACAGAAGGCAGCCAATGAATGCCATGAGTAACAAGTACACGTGTCTGAAAAAAGTTTTTTATTCATGATAATGAAAATTATTATTTAAAAGAACACAAAGTCATTATTTTGTCTTATAAGCAACTAACACTAAGGGAGAAATTATTTTAAAACCATTCTATATAATTTCTTCATATAAATATGTTCAATTTTTTAAGAATGAATAAAAGCTAAACTGTTAAGCCTATAGAGGCTTGTTGGCAAAAATTATCTGAAAAGTTAATTCAGTTCAAATGACTGAAGTTGATTTCAAGATTAAGAGATTGGCCCTGAACTTGGGGATATCCAGTAAAATCCTAATTAAGTTACTATAGGCCTTGACAGGTTATTGATTCCAGGGAAAAATATTTCCTAGTTGAAAGCTGTTATCTTAAATTAATAACCACCTAAAATCATAATGAGTTACTATATAACCTTTATTTTAAAATTGGATGATGAGCAAGGTTATTACTATCATGTTGCCTTTATTCATCATTTGATAACAGATCCAGAAAAATTACAAATAGTATAACACCTAAGTCAACAAGTCATGATAGCAAACATGTGGTCTGGTCATTGACCACTTGACCAGTTGGTTGATAGTAGGAAAAGATTTAACTAGCTCATGGTTATATGAAGTCATATCATGTAGTGACTTAAAAAAAATTTTGTTGTGTTTACACAAAAGCAACTGAAAATTACTTTTAGGCCTGTGGTATGTTGATTTTGGCTTTGTAAACAGTAAGGAATTTTTCTCTGCAGAAAAAAAAATTATAAATAAAATGCTGATAGTCTTCAAATTATTTTAATCACAATGGACAATGGAAATCTCTAGTTCCTTCTACACTTCTTTGAACAAAGAGGAAATGTTCGCTTTTAATAACACAGGTAATAAGTTGTGGCAGGTTTTTTGATTAACAGCAATATGCTCTTTGGTGGAAGAGCTTGTTACTAGCTTTCATCTTAAGACATAGGAACTCACTAGTTTGTCCGAGAACCAGGAACTTGAATTTTCCTTTTCTTGGTTTCATACACTGATGATTTTGAGATGATTTTTCAAACAGCAAAGATTCCTTATTTAGAATATTTATATTCAAGCTATTGTACTGTCTTTATTATGTTTCAGCCATTGAACCCACCAGCCTTCCTTTAGGTGTACATCAATCAGGGTAACCTATAGGGAATTCTGAACTGAACCTTTTCTTTAATCTACAGGGGTATATTGTTCTTGTTCCACTGCTCATGTTTAGGGATATTGTCTAGTGCTTATTTTTGTTTAGTTTGCTTGCCCATTTCCACTAAATACAAGTACACACTGCCCAACACAGGGATTGAACTCACAATCACAATGTGACCAAATTCACAAACCAATGCTTTTACTTACTACACCCATAGGACACTTTGCTGGAGTGAACTTAGACACTTAAACCTAACCTTCACTGCTGATTAGGCTGCTGCTAGCTGTCGTGTTTTGAATGCTGCTGAGGTTGAAGGCATGCTGTCATTTGTCTTCCTTTATTAGCAACTCCCACATTGTATTTATTTCTATACTAGGCCTACTAAGGAGGTCCTCATAGCCTAGCCGATTCTTTCAGACATTTAACTCTCCAGTATTCTTCCTTGTCCAGTATTCTCACTTCATTCCAAAGGGGCTGATGATGGACCTTTCCCTCCATACATGACTAGCCATGTTTGATTTTCATTATAAAGCCTCACATGATAGCTTTTTGATGTTCCTCCAGCCTTTTAGAGGGCAGCTTGTTTATCCTTTATATTCTCTGCCACAACAGCAAGGAATAGATTACATGCAATTCTTGGTCATATTCTCCACTGTTAGGCTTTAGTCAGCAGAGATTTCTCCATAGGGTGGAACTGCAAAGATTCAGATAGCAGATTCTTCTCAGAAGCCAATAACAACAACTCTCTCTTTAACAATTGAGAGCAGAAACATCCTTGCTTATATGAGAAACTCTTATCAATTTAACTTTGATAGATTAAAAAAAAATTTAACCCTTCATTAAAATAATCCATATATTATTTCCACAGATTCAGAATTCTAGCAAGTTCTGAGAGTGAATGGCCTCTCAAATTATAGTTTTGGTTAATTCCTGGGTTTTTGGAGTTTAGTTAAAAAAAATTTAGCAATTTTGGAGAATAGCATTCTATAAAAACATTTCCCTAGGCCTGTAAATCTTGTCAACACTTTTCCCTGGTTAAATTCTCAATTACACAATTTCTCTGAATTGTACATTCACACCACATTTTATAGCTTCAACATTTTCTTTAAACATTTTACCTTTTTCTTTCATCCATTATTTCTTACTTTCATGAATGTTTTTTTTCATTTATGAATAAAGTTTCCTTTCATAGCTCCAAGCAAGCTAAAAGTTATATCATGTACTCTACAGGGTTGTAACCATTATAATAGCATAAGACATGTCATATTAGAATAAAAATACATGATGAAAATTGACCTTACCTTGTTTTTTAATAGTCCCTGATTACCAATAACTCTTTCAAATATGTGTTTGCCAACATGGGAATCAACAGCGCTGAGTGGGTCATCCAACAGATAGATATCAGAATCACAATATACAGCTCTGGCCAGAGAAACCCTTTGTTTTTGGCCACCACTAAGATTGATACCCTGTTATTAAAGAGAAATTTTATGAGATGAAGTAAATACATTGCATACAAATAGCAAAAACAGAAAACTACAATTCTGTTTTAATTTTAAAATTTTATTATGATCTTATCAATATTCTTTTTATAATTTATATACAGCTGTATCATTAATATATCAAATCTTAACAATATTGCTACATTCTTTAGCTTATCAAATGTTAATCAGCTGCCTTTTTGAATGTTTAAATTTTATACGAATCATATTAGTTGTAATAGCATTTATATTTCATTAGATAAAACATTGGCATTTTTGGACTAATATTTCAAAATAAGCCTCCAGTGAGATTTGAACTCATCTCTTATACCAAATCCAGAGCCTTCTCACTCTTGTTGGAGGATGTGTTCATCCAGTATTCACACGTCCACAAGTCAGGGGCACCTCTCTTCACTGAGATTAAACACTGGTGTTATATAGTTATCTCAATCCCAGACCCACACTGACTATTGGCTAATACCTGCTTAGTATCATTCATATGCAAATAGCCCAAATAGTCAGCACCACCTACTAGAAGGTCTTCTCTTAACAGCCTATTGTGGAAGAGGATGCAACTCTTGGTGCTTCTAGCACCAACTACAACCAACTCACTTTTCTCAAGCTGTCCCGATTCTCTGTTACACTCCCTCTGATCTCCTGATCACATTCCTTACATGCTAACTTGGACACAGGATACTCTGCTATCTTGTTGCTTTCAGAGCGGGGTAAAGCTTTCTTCATTTCAATTTGTTTACTCTTCAGTATTTTTTCAAGACTAGTTTATCCATGGCATCATAATCTTCAAATGAAGTTAAACCAAATCCATTCTTTCCAGTGGCCTTGTCACTAATCAAGTCAATGATAGAAATTTTACCATGAGGCTGAAATAACTCAACTGTTCATCTGTGGTGTCTTCCTTGAGACCACCCACAAACATTCTCTTCACAAATGCTCGAGATTCAGCATACTCTTTCAGCTGAATCTCAAGAAACTGTGTTTGCTGAAGTGGCATTTTAGATTGCTTCATCCTGTGACAGTACCATCTTCATTATAAAAGGTGCTACATTGAGACTGAAGCCTAATCATGTAAGGCAGTACCTCCAACCTTTCAGTAAGACTGTCTGGTAAGGCCACAATGACCCATGTACGTGAACCTGTAGGTACACTCTCCGAAGGTCCAACAGCAATACATTGTACTCGCATTGTCGCTATTCCCTTACCTTTTCCACACAGACATCCGCATTTGCCGTGAACACATCTACGTACTCGTTTAATTCTTTGTAATCCATTACAGGGTGTACTTTTTCCTTGCTGTTTTTCAATGTGATGGATCCAATTTCAAACATGCCCTGTTTTGAAGTAAGTTCTTGTAAGCGAACCAAGCACTTCATTACAACTTTGTCAGGCAAGTTGATCCCTCCAAACCTAGTAAAACTGTCAAGATGGTGATTCAGAAGTGTCCTGAATGTCAGTCCATAGATCTGGCACCGGTGCACTTCTTTAACAAATCTAACCACCTCTGTGGTACTCTGGTAAGTTCGTAAGCCTTATTTTGGTTGGACTGTGCCAACCTCACATCCAAGTCGAGGTCATACTTTGCAATTAGTGCCTGAAGGGTCCCCAGTCATCTCTGCACTATCATATCACACGCTGCCTCCATTTTCAGGCGTGCCTTTCTGGTTAAGGTGTTGCTTGTGGCAGAGCATTGGTCCCATGCAGGTCAAAGGTCTTTAACATGATGTGGCATGCCATCAATCGGGACAGATTGTGGACTGCATGGCCATGAGGGACCCCAAGACCAAATGGTCAAGCTTTGACTATTACTTACAAGAATGTAAATGAAGTTGATGAAGCTCAAAAGCACAGGCCTCAGGTTCTTGACAATCATGAAGTTGTGATTAAAAGGGCCATGCCGAGAGAGGTTTTTCTGATGTGCGGACGTGCAAATACCAAACACAGAGGAACCTCCTCTCTGATTGACCAGGTCTTCAGTGGGTATAGCTGTATTCACAACACTTGGCCAATTGCAAGTTGGTGAGACTATTTAAGTTGATGTGGCTGGCCATTGACTCTTGTCATTCCCCCTTTAGTCATCTCTTCACTTAGTAGTTTTTTTTTGTGTTTTTCATTCAGAATTTTATTTCCATCATTTATACCCAAGCTAACACTGTTGTCCGTAAGTGATTCTTAAGGCTAGCTTTTACAACCTATTTTACACACGTGGCAAACAAAGTTTGTCTGTGTTACCTATGTTGGAAACCTGCCTGTCCCTGTTATGTTTGAGTCCAGCAACAGATTTATTTACAAACTTTGTCACAAAACTCACAGGTCTTTCTGGTAGGGTTGCATACACATGAGTTTGCACATGACCTCTGGTGTAATCTGATGGGACTGGCTAAACCATCTGCTGAAAGGGTGACTTTTCCAAAAATACTGCAAGTGTGTTGGTGTCCTAATTTCTCCCTTCCTAATGGTGTGCTTTTTGTTAGAATGCTCAATCCTAAACTGCTCAAAATTGTTGCATCATTCCCAAATCAACCTTCTCCAGACCTATCTCCATCAACAGTTTAACATTAATACCAAGAGTCTTTAGGTTACATTTAACTACATCCTTTTTTTGGGCTTATGTAGCAGCGCATCATAAACACGTCTTTTGGGCAACCTGTCAACTTATATAATTCAACTAAGATCACTATCAGTAATTTGTAATGCATTTTTTGCTAATTCTATTAATACTATCTAGTATAACCTAGGGAAGGTTACTGAATAGAATAATCACACAAAGGTTGGTAATGAACGATAATACTTAGGACATGAACAACATATATAAGATTTGCTAGCGGTGTGTAGAAGAATAGTCTACTGTTAGAAGTGAGTCAAGTGAATTCCACAATGATTCTCCAACTGCAGACCAATATACAGTATTTACTACTATATTTATGTGAATGGGGACATAATCATTATCATCTGTAGGTATGCTACAACACTATCATTACAATATAATAATCTGAACAAGATTCAATGTTTTGTTTTTTTTTTACACTTACCTTCAAAATGTTTAGATGTGGGAAGAAATATTGCTTTGCACAAATAGGATTGTAGAAACTAATTTTTTGGTAAGTATCACTTGAATTAGCAAATCAAGCTTAATTATTTTCTGAAGAACTCACCTTTTCTCCTATTTCAGTTTGGTCCCCGCCATCAAGGAGTTCAAGATCCGACTTCAAAGCACAAGCATCAATAACAGAATTGTATGAAGTTGGGTCCTCATATTTTCCAAAGAGGATGTTATTTTTCAGAGTTGCATTCTGAATCCAAGCTTCTTGAGGTACATAGGCAACAGAACCCTAAATTCAAATAAAGTTCTATTAACGAAATATAAATTCTCTCAGTTACATGACAAACCTTTAAATTTATAACGTTAATTCTAATTTTCAAAGTTCTGTATTTGAAATTTATCAAATTCGTTACCAAAAATTTTTTTATAACTATTTCTGCTTGCTATACGAGATTTTTATTTAAATGTCAATGTGCAATATCATATTTGCAAATACCTTATCAGCCAATCTAGGACAGTCATTACTTACACTGTTTTCATAATCTAGAAATTTTCTTTAGTCATTATCCAAATGACAGGCATTTCTTTAAAGTCCCATAAAAACTATGATAATGTTATGAAAACATTGAAAAGCAAGTTTCTTACCTGCATATTAACAGTTCCACGAATTTTGTTCATTTCTCCCAAAATGGCCGAAATTAGGGAGGATTTACCACAACCTACTGAGCCAACAACTGCAATGAGTAGTCCTTTAGGGATTTCAAATGAAATGCTTCAAAAGAAAAATACATAAAACCTGAATATTCAAAACATTTGAAAGTTTTCATTTTATTTGCATTGTTACAACTTTCTGTGTTATTAAAATTAAAATACTTTAAGATATTTAAACATAATTGAATAATTCAATTATTCAGCCAAAAGACATGTTTATCCCTGCAATTTCAATATTATTTTTATGAAAAATAATCTTGTACTTTAAAAACCAAGGAATTAAGAAAATAATAATAGAACTAGAAAAATATGAAATTGACTTCTACCAGGATGTATTATTGGTGGACACAATCATAGTAAAAGATATGCAGATATTGCAGGGGTGCCTAGACAAGTAGTAAAGGAAAGCATAAAGAAAAAACTATCAAATGTTAAGACAGAATGTATGGTTGTCAGCAAAAGGGACATCCCAAGATGCAAGCTACAAATTGGGGATGTTAAAATCAAGCAAGTATCTGGGAAGTGTTCTAATAGACAATGGAAGATGCAACACAGAAAATTGAAGGCACATTAGAGCAGCAAAAGATGCCTTTCAGAAACTAAAAGTATTAAGAGGAAAATTTCATTAGAAGCAAAGAAAAGGGTACTGAACTGCCATGTAAAATTAATCCTCCTATATGACAGTGAATGCTGGAAAATTTTCTTGCAGATGAAGGAGAGACTTGAGACAACAGAGTTGTGATTCTACAGAAGGATGTTGGGAACACCATGAATGGAATATATTTTTAAAGAAAATGTAAATGAACAGAGCAAGGAGGGCTTGAGGGAGTAACCTATCTAAGGAGTTTGCGTTAAGTGGATCGTAGAATTGGGAGGGATAGTAAGGAGACAAACATTGCTTAGAGCTACAAAGGATAGGAAGTTGTGGAGAGCCATAATCGCCCACATATTGAAAGGACATAGCACATAAAAGGTGCTTGACACATTTAAGGTGAAAACTATTGTTATCTTAAACATAATTTCTTGGCTCCCTTTGCCTCATAAGTAAAAGAAATTTAAAACAAATTAATTTTCTTGAAAAGCTACTGAATTGCTGAAGAGAACAAGAAACAAAAGGTGTCTTTTTCAATTTCAAAGTTATTTGGATCAATAAAAAAATCCATAATAAACAAATCATAAAAGTATCTGATTAGAGAAAACAATGAGAAGCCTATGATTTAAATGTCTACTTTCAAGTTGGAACACAAGTTAATTAAAAATCCATTTTTATCAATGTACAATGGTCAATTTTTAAGGTGAAAGCTTTTTTAAATAAACTCAAAGGAGAAAATAATAAAAATATGTTTATAAGCATCTGTCATAAGAAACAATGTTTTTTTTTTTTTTTTTTACAAATTGATCAGTCATACACACTGATCTCTAATTCTTAGTAATGAGATTATGTTAATCAGTCAGTCATGTGCCATGCATAATACATGCTTAGGCAATCATGTATCTTTTGATATATGACTGATGAGGCAAATTTTTCCTGCAGTAGGTTACCATTTCTTTCTGTGGGAAACCAACTGCCATCCAAGGCTATAGAATCCGGTCTGCCCTGCTATTTACCCATAGCTGGGGGGAAAAGAGGATTCATACCTTTCCCAAAGGTGTTAGCACATAAGTGAATGTAATGGATTCAAATGGAATTTGAATTCTGCTCTCTGATTCCTCAATCCGAGCCACTATCCATTACTCCACCGTGCATCCTCCTAGGTTAATAGGATGTATTAATACTAATAAGTAAATATGGTATTAGTTACTATAACAGAATATTTCATTAATAAACAATGGAGATCAGGATAATACATTGCTTTTCTTTTCTTTTGCACGGCGGAGTAATGGATAGAGGCTTGGATTGAGGAATTAGGGAACTGAGTTCAAATTTCAGTTGGATCCATTACATTCACTTACATGCTAATACTTTTGGGAAAGGTATAAATCATCTTCTCCCCCCAAGCTATGGGTAATAACAGGACAGACTGGTTTGTATAGCCTTGGGTGGCAACCAGTTTAGGAGAAGGAAACTGAATTCAAACTGGCCTGATGAGGGTTGGTCTTCATCAGACTATCTTACCCAAGAAACACCACTTGTGCTGTGGCTGCAGTACATGTGATGCCCCTATCACCCTAATGGATCATGGAATTCATGATCATGGTGTTAACTTTTTGGGTTATAGTTTGTTTTGTTTTTTAACTTTACTAATTTAAAAAACCCAATTTTTTTTTTTTTTTTTTTTTTTTACATGTGACAATAGAATTAATATAAATAGAATTCGTAGATTGCTCATAGAGAAAATATAACCAATTCAATTATAAAATTATATACTTTAGATACTAATTTTTTATAGTATTGATAGAGTTTAAAAATAAAAAAGGAACTTCAAATATTTTTTATATTTCAGTATAGCCATATCTTAAAACAGTATCCATTAAAACAAAAAGTAATTACTTTTCTAAAATATTCGTTTCTCCTTTTTCCCAGTTGAAGGTTGCATTTTTCATTAAAATAGCAGAATCTGAAAGATAAAGATTTTAATAAAGAGGACATGTAAAAAGCTCTTCCAAGAATCCAACAATAAAATTAAAGAGATTTTGCCAAATTTACAGACAAAATATTTTAGGGAAATTATTGCACATATAATTTAAAAACGGAAAACAAAAGCTGATATAAACAGAAAATATTTGCATATTTATAGTAAAGGGATATAATAAAAAGTTCATCCTATACAGTCTAAAGTAATGTTTCGCAATCTTTTTTTTTTTTTTTTTTTTTACTTCAGAGTGAACTTGTAGAATAATTAAAACTCTGGGCCATACTTTAAATTTTTAATTGGGAAAAATTAGTCATGAAGTTTGAAAATATGAAATTTTGGTTTAGCATTCCCCCAAAAAATAGTGGTACACTTTTCATTTAGAAGGGATTTATGAATTTAGAGAGGCTAATAATGACAAGATTTAAATCCCTTGAGGAAGGCAAAAGGACTATCCACTCCTTAAAGATTAAGGAATGTATTATCCAGTTTAAAATATCAAATGAAAGACTTGACTTATACATTGAAGACACATGCTTGGTATCTAGCTTTTTAAAAATAAAAATAATTCATAAATTACTCTTCTCTTAACTTGGGACACATGGCTATCTTTCAGGGTACATTAGTGTACCTGGGTACATTGGTCTGAAGAAAAAGAAAAAAAAAAACTAGAAGTGCACATTTCTATATTTCCTTGATGTCTGTGAGATTTCTTTTATGTATAAAAAGTAATTTCTGTCTGAATTTCTGAAATGAGGAGTTATTTATATGTGAACTATTGTCCTCATCTTTTGTTATCACAAAGTTTCAGTCACTGTATTCTCCATGGAATTTTGAACTGAACCCTTGAATTAATCAACAGAGTTAGAGAATGTTCCTCCACACCACTAGATTAAATATAGGGTCAAGTCCAAAATTCCCTGAAAGTTACCTGAATCAACAAGCAACAAATGAAGGCTGGAGGCCACAATAGTCAAAATGTTGTGATAAAGAAAAATGTGATGAAAGAAAAAAAAATCTATCTTTGCTGCCAAAGAAAAAACATGAAAACAAAGAAAAGCCTAGGAGCCACCATATTTTGCTTTTAAGAAAGCAACTCACAAATGACTGAGACAGAATTGCAGTGAACAGACCAGCTGTCAACACCCACAAGTCCTTAGCATCACCACCTATGACCTCAGTCAACCAACTTGCCAAACAACTCCAAGCCTTATCAACTCTACCCGCCCTCCAAATCATTTTCCTTTCCCCACATGGAGACATTTCACTCACATCCTTTTTATTGGCAATACAAAGAATTTTATATTAACAAATTGTCTTTTCCTTTCGTCTCATTGGTGGTACTTCTCGTTTTGTTTGTTCTTTCGTGCTACCATACACTTGTTTATAACAATAGTAACAAAGATGAAGACAATAGCCCACATGTAAATAATAAAAAGTAATTCCTTTAAAAATTTATCAAGTCATAAAATATATTGTAAGTGAGCACTTAAAATTTGTACCTTTATAGCTATTTCAACAGACATTGAACAAATTTTTCACATTTAGTAATACAGAAAGAAAAACTTCAGCCTTGTGCTTACACTAATATTTTTAAACTTTCCTTTATCTCAGGCAAAATATTTTAAAAATGAACAGTAAAATGAACTAAATTCCCTCTCTTTTTAATAACTGAATTCTTTATTTCTGAGCTAAAAAAAAAAAAAAAAAAAAAAAAATATATATATATCGCAATATTTAATCTTCATGTCCGCTTTATAAAGATAGTATGACAATGTCTTATCAAAATTAATAGGACTTTAAAATTGTGAGTACTATGGATTTATTTAAAAAAAAAAAAAAAAAAAAAAAAAAAAAAATTATCTAATGGTCATAGGTCCATGAATGTACAAATATTATGCAAAACTATGTAATCAAATAAATGCAGTTTATCATTTATATCTAGCAGCATGTGTCATATTTTACCCAACACAGTTTTTGCTTAATGGAGATAACAAATTTGTATATTCATCATTAAAAAGCAAATTTGTAAAAATATCCAATCTTCTATTTTTTATAAAAAAAAAAAAAAAGCAACAATTGTTTTGTTGATCACTTTTATAAATAAATTGCTTTGTATTTTCTACCTTGAAAATGGTAACCACCTTAGGATTGCTTAGGAGTAAGCAGATGCAACATGTAGAAAAATAAGCAACATTGACACTTTTTAGTAGATTTTGAAAATTAAATATTATAGGTTAGAAAATTATATGCCATATATGAAATAAAAGACCACCAAAATGTTTAAACTCATCAAACTACTTTTGCTACTACTTTGAACAGTATACACAAATTTCTCAAGAAACAAAAGAACAAATGAAAGGGACTAAGACTGTAACATTAGGTATCATTACTAGTAAAAGATATTTACCAATGTTGGGATTTTCAACAGTATTGCTTGGATCAAGATCCTCGCCATTTAGGAATTTATTTACTCGAAATACAGACACGATGCACTGAAAAAAGGCAAAAAAATAAAATAATTCTAATATTAAATTTAAAATGTCAAATTAAAAGCGTCAATTACAGACAAAAAAAAAAAAAAGGTAATTAAAAAAATGTCAGCTTCTAATAAATTGATTTAAATGCATTAAAATAATCACCTCAGCAAAATCACATTCACCTCTTGACTAAAAAGCTTTTTATAATTTTCTTTCTGCATGCCCAAAACATTTTCTGAAATTTCAAACCCTAGTTTCCTTGCCAATAGTGTTCTTTGTTCTTTATCCTTTTTTGGAACTGACAAATATAGAATTACTGTATTAAATATTTTGATTGACAAGTAAAAACATTCTTTAAAAATACTAATCTCATATATGGTGATGATACATTACCAATAGACTATGAGCCCCTTTCATAGCCAGAAAAAATGATGCCTATTTTTGCATTGAGACACTTAGGACTTTCCCCAGCTGTGGGTTAAATAGTAGAGGAAAAAAAAAATCATTGTTATTCTCAAAAATTGTTAATGTAAAATTAATTTGCAAAAACAAAATCACTTCTTACAACCCCAAATATATTTTTGCTTTAAATAACCAACAAAGGGTTGATAAGCCATAAAGAATAAGTCATTTCATTATTCATTCATTGATACTTGGGGGAAAGACATGTTGAATAAACCTGTTCAGAACATTATAGTGTCTGTGCTAATAATAGGTTATAACAGTAAAAAAAAAAAAAATTAAAAAAAACAGTTTAAATATAAATATTAGCTGATTGAGCTTGATATTTTGCTACAAGTGAAAGTTGCCCCTACGTAGCATTTTTTTTTACCAGTCACCCCTACATAGCATTTCTTACCAGTTGCTTAACTGGTGTTTCAATGTGATATAGCTGTAAGTTTAACAAACTCAAGAAAAAAAAAAAAAGTAAGATTATTAGCATGGGAAGTTCTTTCACATTCTCCATATTTATCACCCACAGACTTATTCATTTTGATTAGTAGAACATTTCAGAAATGGCAGAATACTTAAAGACAAAGAAACTGAAAATAGTTTTTCAAATTTCTTCAGGAGCCAAAAAAAAAAAAAAAAAGAAAAAAATTTCAAATATGAAATCAAGAATTTGCCTTCCTTGCTGTAGTTATTAAAAATTAAGTTGGTTATATTTAACTAGAATTTGTTTTAATATCCTTTCTGATAAAGTGTAGGGAGACCACAGGGTTTTTCTTGGCATTTAGCCCATGAGAGTTGTGGCCCCTTTTAGTGAATAGAACTCTTCTGCCTTTTTTTTTTTGTCGTCACTTCCGTTTTGGGAGGAACGACCTCTTTTCTTCCTGACCACCAGAGAGTCCACATGAAACTGGTAAAAAAATGGCCTAACGAATCTAAACCCATCTGGGGACGACCAAAGGCCATGAAGTTGGTAGGTGATATCTTTTGTTTTAACCTCCCGTTCCTTTGGGACAATATTGACATTTATTAGTTTTGGGACATGTATAACTCTTGTATATATATATTTTAAGGCTGCTCGCCATATTAAATGTTTCATTGGTTAACCTTTTCGTAATTCAGTGTTAGTGTATCAATGGGTACGCTTAATGCTAATATTAGTATCGGTGTGTTAACGAAAGAACATGTTATTCTACCTAACGTAGAATAATTAGTAAATGGCAAAATACACCCTATACCAATATGTGGTGATCTAACGTGGCAGTATATTTTGCAATTTGCAAAATAACTGTTAATTTTTTTTTTGTGTTAGAGAGTGTTTTTTCCTTTCTTTCGACACAAATAATTTTATAGGAATGACATTTCGTATAACATGTCAACATGGCTTCCCTTTCCCCGTGTGATTTTTCTCCCCGTCCTATATTTGAATTTGGCAGCCGGCCTGCAACATTAGACTGCCTCACCCTTGGAGGCACACAGGTCAGTAGCTTACTGTTAGAGTTCACCACACCCATGAAAGCAGTGATAGCCATTTCTGACTTTTTGTTTAAAATATTTAGGCACGTTTGTTTGTGAACAGAGGCGTATTTCTGTGTTAACTAACCCCATAGAGAATATACGATATGGATTCGTGTCCGCAGTGAACACTGTCAGCTTAGCCTACTTTAAAGCGGACCCAGCTTTAAACAGTTAGAGTCGGATAACTGAGAGGAATTACCTCTCAGAAAACAAAATTTAATTTAGCGGTCTCCAAGTTGCCTCTAGAAGCTGTCCAGGAGGTGAGAGAAATTATTATCTCTCCGCCGAAAGACAAGCCATATTATAAGTTAAAGGAGGAACTTGTTGGAGGAGAATCACGGCAAAAGAAATTGTCGCAGCTTTTGCATGAGGAAAAGACAAATAAACGTCGTTTACAACATTTGCGGAGAAATGAGGATTTTCATATTTTTCTCCATTTCTTGTTTTAGCCAGCGGTGGGTGAAGATGCTGGCTGAAATAGCAGATAAAGCTGACCTAAAAAAAAGAAAAAACAACGAAGGTTCAGGATGGAAGACTTAGAGAGACGGTTGCAGAAGGTTAGCATTCACCGCTCCCCAAAGTAGAGGTCGTGTAAAAAGCTGTTAACAAGGACCCCATGTGTTCTTACACAGGAAATTCGGAGATAGGGCTAATTATTGTAAGCCCCTGTTCCTTAGGCTTAAAAATTACTATTTGTTTCTGGTTACTGGTATTCGTGGACAGTGGTGCGCAAATATTTAATTCCTGCCACTAAGGCAGACAAGTTAAAAGGCCCTCACAAACTTACCTTACAGGCCGTGAATAATCATCCAGACTTATGGTCAGAGGTGCCTTACATTGAATTTGGGTCTGAGACGGGTTTTCACCCATTTCTTTGTCCTTCTTGGGATGTAGAGAAGGCCATATTTGCAGATTTTTTACACAAATTTGGTCTTCTCATTGATGTACACAGAAGAAAAAAAAAAAGCCATTCATAATGTAATTCCATTATGTCCTACTGTAGCTAACACAGAAGATAACCCTATGTTTTTACAAAAAGTTTGAGAGTATTACTAAACCGGCTTTTCATAAAGATAGTTTACCCCACAATATAACGCACCACATTACTGCCCTCCTGTTCACAGCCGTTAAAAAAAAAATTGAGTTTTAAAGCGAATTTACCCAAATGATGGAACTTGGTATTATCCGGCCATAGTAAATCTCCTTTACACCTGGTACCCAAAAGTGGTGGTACCTGGCGAGCTTGTGGGGATTATAGGGCACTTTAAACCGGACCGTTATCCCATTCCTCATATACATGACGTAACGGCCAGCATTCAGGATTGCATATTTACGAAGTTAGACCTTATCAGGGCCTACCATCAAATTAGAATGATCACATTCCTAAAGACTGCCATAACAACACCATTTGGGTTGTTTGAGTTTTTGCGTGTGCCATTTGGACTAAGAAAAAGTCTTTTCAATCGACCAATTGCACGATCTACATTTTGTCTGTGCCTATGTGGATGATGTACTTATAGCCAGTTCTTCCATGGAAGAACATATTAAACATTTACAGCTCGTTTTCAGCGCTTTGAGAATTTTGGGGTTGTTATCAACCCAGTAAAGTTGAATTTGGAAAGTCTGAAGTTATTTTCCTAGGTCACCGCATCAATTCAGCGGAGTTTCACCTTCTCCATCTAAAGTGGCGGCCATTTCTGACTTTCCCGTGCCAGATGATGAGAAAGTTGCGACAGTTTTTAGGGATGGTAAATTTTTTGAAGGTTCCTGCCAAATTGTGCCAGGTTATAAAACCTCTGACAGATATTCTAACCGATGTCAAAAATTGTGACATAGTTTTGTCTGATGAAGTTTTAGCAGCCTTCCACCAAAAAGGTTTTACTGTCCCGAGCAGTTGAATTGTCACATGTTGTTCCAGGTAGCGAGTTGTGTTTGGCAGTGGACGCCTCTTCGATTGGTGTTGGTGCAGTACTACAGCAGAAGATTGATGACCACTGAAACCAATTTCTTTCTTTTCCAAGAAGTTAACTTCACAGAATCCAGGTACAGCACGTTTGACGGAACTTCTAGCTTATTCAGCGGTCCGTTACTTTTCGACATTTGTTGGAAGGCGGACCTTCTAACTGACAGACCACAAGCCCTTGTTGGGGGCTTTTCAGTCAAACTCTGACAAGTATTCCCCACGTGAGACCAGACACTTGGATTATCTGTTACAATTCACATCAGATATCCGTTTCGTCAAGGAACAGACAACATACCTGCAGACACTATGTCTCGTGGCATAAATGCTTTTTTGCTGGATCCGTGCTTGGAACATCAATCATTTTGGAAGCACAGGAGAGGGATCAGCAACTACAGCATCTGCTACGAGAGAACAAACATCCTTGAAAAAAAAATACCTGTTCCAAACACAGAATTGGAAGTTGTGTGTGACACCAGCACGGACTGCCCCTTCGTGCCGGAGTCAACGCTATTCTCCTCCATGCACAATTTGTCCCACCCAGGAGCTAATGCCTCAATACGGCTAATCACAGACAGATTTGTTTGGCCACGCATGAAAACTGACATTCGACAATGGTCAAAGACTTGTGTGCCATGCCAGCCTTTAAAGTCGGGAAATACCCGTTCACCTCCTGGATCCTTTCCATCAAAAAAAAAACATGTTTGGACATCACAGGACCCTCCCCTTCATGTGAGGGAAAGACATATCTATTGACATGTGTTGATCATTTCTCCCGTTGGTGTGAGGCTCTTCCCATGTCGGACACTTTAAAGACTTTTGTTTCAGGATGGGTTTCCCGTTTTGGGGTCCCTGCTTTAATTACTACAGACAGAGGGCGGCAATTCGAGTCAGACCTGTTCAACCAACTGATGAGGATCTTGGGAGTAAAAGAGTCAAAACGACCGCTTATCATCCTGAGGCTAATGGCTTAGTGGAACGGTTTCACCGCATAATTTAAATCAGCTTTAAGGGCCGTGACGGATCAGGCAAATTGGCTGGAGCATCTACCATTGGTTCTTCTGGGATGCAGTTAAAGACGATCTTAAATGTTCATCTGCTGAGATAGTTTATGGCACCACACTCAGACTCCCAGGACAATTTTTTCTGCAACCTCCAAAAAGTTTTTGAACTTGTTACCCTTGAGCATGGCGAATTTGGCATATAAGTCTTCTCGCAGGTTCAACGGCAGATATTGCCTAAACTACTGCAGACATGCACACATGTTTTTTGTGCGGGACTTGGCTAAGTCACACACATTGCAGCCAACCTACAGAGGAAAAAAAAGTCCTAGAGAGACATTATATTTTAATGTGAGCATTAACAATGCAACACAAAGCATTACTGTTGACAGATTAAAGCCTGCCTTTTGGACACTACCTGGCTCAGCATGGACACTTCAGCGATTACTCCATCACCAGTATCACCTGGGGTAGTGAAAGAGACTGTGACCAGATCTCGTTAGATGGCCCAAACATTTAAAAAAGGTTTTGGGTTCAGCAGAACTATAACCGGAGGATATTCTTCCCTCCACATTGAACTCTTCCTTTTCCATTATGTTTCTTTAAAGATACATGAAGTTTTGTCTTCGTTATATTTTAGTTGTATCTCTAGTGCAGGTTAAGGAACCTGTCTAGGGAGGGGGTACTTGTAGGGGAGACCACAGGTTTTCTTGGCATTTAGCCCATGAGAGTTGTGGCCCCTTTTAGTGAATAGAACTCTTCTGCCTTTTTTTTGTCGTTTTGGGAGGAACGACCTCTTTTCCTTCCTGAAAAGAAAGAGAAACTGGTCAATGCCTAAAAGGCTAACTCTTTCACCCATCTGGGGACGACCAAAGGCCATGAAGTTGGTAGGTGATATCTTTGTACTTACCCTGTTTTAACCTCCTCGTTCCTTTGGGACAATATTGACATTTATTAGTTTTGGGACATGTATAACTCTTGTATATATAAGGCTGCTGCCATATTAAATGTTTCATTGGTTACGCCACGTGTTTAGAAATTAAGTGTAAAATTAATGCTAATTATCTTGTTAATAAAGGTTAGAAAACGTTATTCTACCTAAAAATAAAGTAAAAAAAAACCCTATACCAATAAAAGCATAATTACTTTCTGGAAATCCTAATAGTTTTAACATAAATGAAAAAAAAAAAAAAAAAAAAGCTAGTTACTTTAGAGTTTTCAATGATTACTAAATATCTAATGAAGAAGTAGAGAAGGATTTGGTAAGTTAAAAAAAAAATGAGTTTTTATACCTTAGACTGGACATATAAACTGCCTAATTTCTTTTATTTTATTATATATTATTATTATAATTATTATTATATATAATTTATATTATAACAGTTTAAATTAAAATTCTCTTCAAATTCTATTCGTAACTCATCTGAAGTCTCTTTGCCTGATTTTCCACTTAGAACTGTATCTCTATTGAGTGATATGCATATAACTTTGTCCATAGTTTATGCTATCATCAATTGCTAAATCTGCTGCTAGAAAAGTTGGTTCGCTGTGTCAAGCTAGACAATTTTTCTCATCATAATCTATCTTACATATTTATAAGTCTACAATTTCTCCTTGCTTTAAATAATGCTGCCACATCTGGTCTGGTGCTGCTGCTATATATTTAGAGATTCTTGATAAAATCTAAAGAAGTTATTGGTCCTGACCGGACATCTTGGCTTCTGTCACTTTAATGCGTAATGCAGCTTCCCTGCGCCTTTTCAATAAATACTTTCATAGTAATTGTTTTGATGAACTTTTATCTATGGTACCTAGACTTTATGAATTTAAGTACAGTACTAGATTGGTGGCAAGGTCTTAACATTTTATAGGTGATGTAACCACAAGTCAACTTTGATCTTCAAAAATTCAAACGCAATTTTAATCATTATCTTATGTCCTCTTAATTATTGTTCTTTTATTGTCCTCTCTCCTTAATAGTATATTTTCTCATTCTCTAACACTAAGTAACCCCTTGCACCTTAATAGCTTTGCCTTGCTTGGGGTAAAAAAAAAAAAAAAACTAACCTGTGTCAGGTAGACAATCATCATAGGTAACAGGTTGATAGGTGACTGTATCAAATTGAAAAGAGAGAGAGAAACAAAGGCCTTTTGAGCATCAAGTTGGTGGTTCTTATTGATCCCAACATAAGTGGCAAATGTAGCAAGTGTAACCTGAAGTTAATAAGAAATAATAAAATTAACTTATCTTGTAACATTAAAAAATAAAATAAAAAGGAATAGTTTTTACACAAAGTGGTTAATTAAAAAAAAAACAAAAACAAAAAAACACATTCTGAAAATAAATAAATTAATTTTGTTATATCTGACTTTCAACAAACAAAAAAATTAAAGCAGATATAGATAAATAGACACTGAAGTCAACAGGGCTTGACAATTGTCAGGCTTTGATGTTATGCTGACCTCCGGTGTTTTTTATATTTACATACACTCAGTCCTTGATATTGAGCACTTTTACTCAAATATAACATACCTTAAATCTATATATATATATATCTCTCTCTCTCTCTCTATATATATATATATATATATATATGTATGTATGTGTGTGTGTGTGTGAATATTGCATGTCCACACACTATATCTGAAAAGAAATGCTGAAAATGACTAAAAAATATCACTACAGATACTTTCTTCACTTGTCTTTATAAAAGAAAAACTGTAAGGACACTAGAAAAAGAAGAAAAAACTTTCTGTGCCCATGTATAAAAAAAATTTCAAAAAAAAAAAAAAAAAAAAAAAAAAAAAAAAATAAATAAAAAAAAAAAAATAAAAAATAAAAACAATGAATTTTTAAAAATGAAAAATGTTTATTTTAGTTTCATTTTCAAGCTTATAGATTAAATTTAATATTTTCAATAAGCAAAATACTTTGCTGTATTTCAAAAACTAATTTGATTGGAAGGATTTTTTTTTTGTTACAATAGCTGATTAGTGCTCTTTTTCAGTAGTCATATATTGCAATGTAATTCTCTTTATTAAAAAAAAAATCTTCCAAAAATTAAATATACTTCTCTGAAACTTTATTTAAGGAATATTAGCTGATTTAAAATATAATTAATCCGAATTGAAACAAATATTAGTGTTAACGTGTTTGACAACATGATGACAAATATAATGTTCTATGGAGACATTATCTGTAAAACATAATTGAAAACAATCATGATTTTCAGCTGTATTTTCAAAATTATCTTTTTACAAAATTTCATAGTTATCAGTTCAGCTGTCATTAGCTTTAGAGGCTTTTATTTACACAAAAATTAAGCCTTAAAGAATTGCAACAACTGCCAGAAAGAATTGTTCATGTAAAAATTAAAAATGATAATGACTGATATGGTTATGGTGTCTAGATAGAAATGAAGAAAAACACACAAACTGATTAAAATCAACAAATATAAAGACTAAGTTGAAATAAAACTATTGCTTGTCACTTACCATAAATGGTACACACATCCATGAAAACCTTGAAAAGCATTGCAAGTAAGCTGCTTTTTTTAATGTTAATAATTCCTCTTTTCTTATACTGATAATCTTTTCTTCAAATGAAGGTTCCCACGCATACAGTTTTAGAACCTGCAATAAAAAAAAAAAAAACATTCACAATTCAAATATCTACCAATTCCTACCTTAAAATAAAGTCACTGTCCCCCCAACAAGGTATCAGACCAGTTGCCCTCCCCGCAGAATGCAGTTTCTGCATCTTCTTTGCAATGGAATGTCTTGGTTTAAAATATTATAAAGATACTTGAAAAAATGATAATCAGTAGATGAGAGATCAGGGGAATATAGCAGATGTACTAAAGTCTCATACTCAGTGAACATCTATAGTGTCATCTTGGGAACATGTGGCCAAGTATTGTCATGAAGCAGAATTTAACCTTGTTGATTAACCAATTCTGGTTGCATTTCACTTAAGTAAATCTGAATTTCTTCCAGATTCTGGCAGTAATACTCTGGTTAGATTCCAGAAAGCTGTAATAGATAATGTCAATAGAAAACCAACCACCCTAATTTCCTACTGGTGCAATTTCAGTTTTGGAAAATGTTTAGGTGTCTTGTCATGATCCAATCATTGAGCCAATAGTTTACAATTGTCATAAAGGATCCATTTTTTGTCACTAGTCGATCAAGAAATGGATTATTTGAATTTTACAGATACAGCATCAAACACTTAAAAATGTCAAACTCTTCATTTATAAAGTTCCTTAACCTTGCCAATGTTTTTGAGGTTGTAAATTATTTTTGAAATGATGACACCCATTATCTGAAACATCTGATACTTTGACATTGTTTTGTTCGACTAGTGTTTTCAGATGTTGTCAATTGCAAATGGTCATTCTTTACCATCTTGATCTTCAAGACTCATTCTCATTATGGAATTTCAGAAACCAGCACTGTACACAAGCTCTGTTATTGTTGGATACAGTTTGAGGGGCACTAAGACCAAGCTTGAACTCATGTGCAAAAAATTTGTAAACATCTCTTGATGTTCAAGATGAGAGGTATGTTTTAAGTTAAATTCTGAAAGTTTGGTTCCCTTTGTTTTACAACATATCAACCTGAAAAGGTTATTTAATGTATTGCTAGTAATTTTTTTTTTTTTTTTTCAAAAAAGTATTGCTGGTAATATTTTTTCTTTGAAAATGTATTGCTAGTAATTTTTTTCAAAAATGTATTACTGGCAATAAGTTTTTACAAAAATGTATTGATGGTATTAAAATCTATTTTTATACTTTCATAGTGTTTTGACCCCAGTTTAGGGGTTAATTATTTGCTCATAGCTGGAACCCTAACAGGTGCTACCAACTCAGGTTAGGATGAACCTGGGAATGCTAAAAATTAAGAGGTGGTTCCACACTCCTCAAAACCTGATTAGAGGCCTTGCTGTTGGATGTAGTTTATCATCTTACCCAGGATGCCTCATTTTTTTCGGGGGGGGGGGTAACCTCTCTTTAGAAGTGCAGCTGGCATATTCTGAAGCCCCAGTGGACAGAACAATCTGAAAGACTGATATAAAAATTAACAAAAAAGACACTTTAATCATTAAGAATGTGTAATGTATTCTTGTGCAACTATTATAATATTTTAAAACAATTAAAATGTTTATTCTAAAATCAGACATTATTTTCCAAAGCTAATAAAAGTACAAGCTGATTAATAATAGACATGTCAGTAGGAGTTTTACAGATAATTATGAAGTTAAAAATAAAATAATTTAAAATAGGCATTTTTCTTTTTTTTTAAACATGATTTCAGAGATTAAGATAAATGCATTTAGTTTATCCAACTGGCAAAATTTTATTTTGGATGAAATATCTCACCTTTATTCCATTAAGTACTTCATTAGTGAGTTTAATCCGAGTATCTTTAATTGTCATTTGTTTCTTCTGGTAGGAGGCAAGTTTCTTGGTGACTATTCCATTGAGAGGGATCATCAAAACAAGGATACCCACACCAGTGAATATAGCATATCCAAGGGTGATGTACAGGAGATAAAGAGCAATACATATTTGAAGAGGAGCTGACCAAATAATCCATAAATAAGCAGTTGCATTATTGATATTTGAACTGTCAACTGACATTAGATTTACAATCTCACCAGTTGTGTATTTCTTCTTCTCTTCAGGCTTGATGACCAGAGACTTTAGAATAGAAGGAAAGAAAAAAAAAAAAAAAAAAAAGAAGTCAATTTTCATAAGCATTTTAAGATTATAAAACAAATCCTTTTATTATCAAAAAGATTTATTAGAATAAAAAAAATAAAAGATGGCATCAATTCTAAATTTGAAAAAGAAAAAATCTAGTAAAATCCACTTCATGCAGAAATTTTGCAAATACATCAAGAAATGACTCCGATAATAAACATTTAAGGGAAACATTAAAATTTTTACTGGAACTGAAAATTAAACAGCAGACTCTCTGGAATAACACTAGCACTACTTAAATTGACTGGTCCGTTCATAAAAATGGGTAAAAATTTGAAGGGGGAATAATTTTTGTAGATTAGAATTCATAAGACTTTCCTCTACCCATGACTAGTCAGAATTAAAAAACATTAATTTTTTTTTTTAATAATTTTAGAAGAGTGAGAGGTGGGGTCCTGTTCATAATATAAATGCAGTGTCAATCGATCCCTGACTTTTTAAAAGTTGCTTGTACTTTGTTTTTATTTACTACTGTTGTCCTTTTTTCCCCCCAATTCCTAATAGTACACAGTTTCAAACTTGACATTTGCAAACTTTTTAGGCAATTTAATAATCTTATCTCCTCCCATCATTAAATTATGGGAGGAGATAAGATAAGGAAGATGGTCTGTTCAGATCAATAATCACAATGTGAGCAAATAGACCATTGGTTGAATTCTACAACACCTGTTCTTCAGTTTACAATGCATCCTGCTATAACAGTACATAATGTTAGAATATTTTATTAATAAGACAAGGAGATTAGAATGTGTGACTGATAAATATTTGAAGTAACATTGTGTCTTATATTATTGAATAGATTGCTTTGGGATTATAATACCAAACAAACCAATTGAATATCATAAGATTATGTCAATCTACAAGAGTTGGGAAAAACAAATACAACATGGTATTTTTATAAAGTAAATCATTCTGTTGCGCAAGTATTTAAGCAGTATTCAGTGTTAATCCCAAGTTAAACTTTCCTTTTCAGGTCATAAATTGAATAGAAATCTTAAAATAAATTAAATACAAAAGGAATATATTAAAATAGATACATTAAAGAGAAGAAAGCGTTTGCAAAAGCAAAAAATATGGAAATAAACATTGCAAATTTACCTCCAATTCGTATTCTTTACTTCCACATTTTTTTCAAAATTTGATTTACATTCTTTAGATATTTTATTTTTGTTTTTATTAAATGAATTTTTTAATCTAGTATTATTACTATAAATGTTGTTATTTTTAGTAGGTACATGTATTTGAGTTGACATCCCCATTTATTTTTTTTCTTTTCTTAAACAGTGAAATTAATATCAAACAGCCTAGATGGAGAAGTCCTACTAAAGAAATATGGGCCTCTCAACTGGAACCTAAACTGTATCCCCTTTTTCCATCAGGGAAACCACTCCTATAACCGAAGCATGCCATAACCAGTTTGGCCATTGGAAGCCATCATGATGTTTTCATGCCATAAAGAAGATTCTTTTCATATTGTATTATTTAGTTGGCTATTGTCTCTTATCCTTGAACATTTCAGTAAAGTTTTTTTTAGAAAAGCTAGCAGAGTTCCAATTTGGCTCTATGCTCTTTTTTTTTTTAAACTGGGGTACATTTCTTAAACCATTTCCTTGTTTGGTAACACCAGATGAGGTGCACATGCAAATTTTATATGTACAAATTGAGTTTCCTGTAAAACAGTCAAATTTCACATTTTCAAAGAAAAATCATTCATTCATGTTCTTCAGTTCCACAATTTCTGCAGTCTGCAAGTTTTTATTCACATCCTTTAATTCTGCATTTTTTTCTTTCATGCTATATTGTCGCCTTAAATAAATGTTTCAGGTTTTTGGGTTTGTTTTTTTTTTAATTGTAATCTGATGTTCATGGATAAAGCATTGCCAGTTATTAATTTTTAATCAGTATTTCTGTAAGTTTTCATTTTTGTTTTCATTGGAACTCTTAAATCATAAAATGAATACAAAGCAATATTTATTAGAAATAATAAACTTCTGGTTGAATTTGAACTTGAAGTCTTTATCCTGAGCAGATTATACAAAGCTAAACAAATTAAAAACTGATAATTTTTAATGCGTTATATAAGAAATTCCAATAATATTACAATTAATATTACTAGTATAAAATGTAAATAAACATAGCATTCAGTGAAACGAAAAAGTAAGCACAATGTAATGAGATTTGAATTACTGTAACCAGTAAATCAACTGCTCTGGAAAGGAAGGCATTCTGAAGATAAGAGTTTGAATCTTACAAGAGGTTTTTTATCTCATATGACATTTTATCTTTATTTCTAATCTATACTGCTTACTGACAATCATAGAATTATAAGGAAAAGCAACACAAATACTCCCCCCCCCCAAAAAAAAAAAATTAATAAAATTTTAAAATCCCAAAATATTTAAATTTGCAAATTTTTTAAATTTAAATTATGGATCAGAAATAGAATTGTTTTGTTTAATGGTATGTCAATCTAGACAGATCATTTATACCAAATGTTTCAGAAATCAGATTCATGAATTCATGGTTAAAACATTAATTTTCAAGGATTTCAATAAGGCCAGTAGACAAAAAATACTATTTAAAATAGACAGGTAATCTACTCAAATACAGGTATCTACTAAAAATAATGTTTGAAGAAATAAAAATATTTTAGATTAAAAAATAAGATCCATTAATTCTTTAGAAATTGCTTTGTTTACATTTTGGATACAAAACTGAGCAGTTATGCAATTCAAGTAGAAATCTGAATGAATAAAATGGGCTTTAAAGGTAAAATGGAATCTTGCTTTATTGTGAAGTTCTTTCTAGCCAAGCAGTAAAAGCATGCAGGATCAGATGGTGGTTCCTTCAGTAAAAGAAGACACAGGTTTGAAAAAGACCAGTAGATGAAATAAATAGTTTGAACAGATTATCTACTCAAATATGGGTATAGCATAAAAATAACATTTGCAGTAATGAAAATATTTTAGATTAAGAAATAAAATCAATTCTTTAGAAATTGCTTTGTTTACATCTTGGATATGAAACTGAGAAGATATGCATTTTGAGAAAAATGCAAATTATTAAGTGTGCTTTAGAGGCAGAAAAGAATCTTCCTTTATTGTGAAGCTCTTCATAGCCAAGCAGGTCGGATCATGTGTGTATGTGTATTTACACATGATTACAATCAGATTTATAAACTCAGACCTAGTTTTATTGATTAGTTGTTGATTTTGTTTAGCAGTATATCAACCTTTACAGGTTATTTACAGATAACGACAGCTCTTAGGGAGAGGTGATTAAATATACTTTAATGTTTAAAAAAATTTATTCATTATTATTATTATTATTATTATTGTTTAGGCATTATAACATAGCACAAATAGCTATATTGTGGAAAAAGGAATTTTTGACACTATACCCTTTTTTTATACATATTTTTGGTTATTTTTTAACTTTTATCAAAAATGACATTCTTGTACATGTAGTTATGGATAATATTATGCATTAATTACTAATTTTTTTAATTAATAACTATTTGTGCTCAGTTGTTGACATTAATAGCTATCTGCTGATGTGTTAAAATTTTGAATTAATGCAATAATAAAAATTTAAATTTCATCTCTCTGATAGATGCCACAATCTGTTAATGTCAAAATCTAAATATTTATATTTTGTACAAAATTTTATACTTTCAAAGCAAAAGTATTTTTTTAGATATATAGTTTGTTGATCATAAAATTTATTGCTGCTAATTTTCCTATAAAAATGTATTTTTATTTTTTTTTTTTTACTGTTGCATTGTCATTTTGCTATAAAAATGTATTTTTGCTCATTTTATAAAAATTGTACTGTTGATTTTTGTTTGGGGGTTTACTATTTACCCATAGCCGAGACCCTAACAGGTGCTACCACCCCAGGTAAGTGTGGACCTAGGAAAAACAGCAGTTAAAAGGTAATTTCATGTTCTCAAAACGTCCAATCTCCTTGTTGCTGGATGTAGTTTATCGTTATACCCAGGACACAGTTTCATTGATAAAAAGTTAATCACCTTCCTGTAAATAGCAGAGATCAAGGATTTTTCTACTCTCATGCCAGTCCGCATTCCTATGTGATAATTTTGATGAGAAACAATAGACTGCAGAGTAGACATGATGAACATGATGACAGCCATTGTGTAGCCTTTCCATGGTGCATCTGTACTTTCTGTGAAAGCAATCAAGTAACTGGAATTAAAGAAAAGAAAAATGATATGCAAATTACCAATCATATCAAATTTAAAAAAAAAAAAAAAAAAAACAAAAAAAAAAACAAAAAAAACAAAAAAAAAACAGTAATTTGAGACCAACACAGAAAGCAGCTTTTTCAATCTTAACATGATTAATATATATGTATTTTCTATGACAAGATTAGTTTGGTCTTAAGCCAGATGTATGGCACTCCCAAAGTAATTTGAGCTTATCAGTGTAAGGATGCTGAGAATACATTGGACTGAACATGTGAGCAAAGTTTTAGGAAAAGCACAAACAAAAGAGACACAGAACCAGAGTTGAAATTTCTAGGGTATGTAATGAGAAAAAAGGGCTGAGAAAATTTGACAATCACAGGATATATTGAAGGCAAGATGGACCAAGGAAAGCAAGACATAGAACTAGGATTAGGAGAGATAGCAAAAAAAAAAAAAAAAAAAAAAAAATCTTTGCTAATATCTACAAAGGGCAGGAAATTGTGAAGAGCCATGATCTTGCTAGCACAATTACGAATGAGTAGTGAGTTCGATCCTCACTGGGTGCCTCATACTTTTGGCCTTGTGCCACATCTAAGTTATGCCTGGAAAATTGCTACAGCATATAGAAGAACAATTACAAGAAAAATGCATTTTCATACAAAAGCCATGTGATGTGATGATGCTTGTGGGTGAAGGAGTGATCTTGAAGATGCAAGAGTTGAGGCTTGCATCAGATCAGTTGACCAAGAGGCTGGTGTTAACTCTTCTGGGGTTTGGTGGGTGGAGTCACTGAGCAAGTCCTTTTAAGCAGTCAGGGTAATACATGACTCAGCATTTTTTTTTTTTTTTTTTTTTAGCAGCAATGTTCATGATTTGTTCTGGCATTTAAATTTCATTTTATTGGATTTGTTTTGTGAGCTGGATACAAAGCTCAGAGCTCCTGCACAGAGAGCAACATTTTTTTTTATTCTGCTTTCATAGCAGATCATGTTGAATAACTGATTTTCATACAATCACTGAAATCAAGCAATGTTGAGTCTAGTCAGTACCTAGATGAGTGGCTGCTTGGTTTGAACCCACCTCTTCTGCCCCCAGCTATGGGTTAATAATTGTATCAGTAGATAATTATAATCTTCAAAAAATTCTTAGAATCTAAAAATAATTTTCTGCCTTTAAATAGCCTGCAAAAGGTTGAGATGTCAAAAAAAAAAAAAAAAAAAAAAAAAAAAAAAAAAAAACTGAATCAATCAATTCATAGAATTCACATCTGGCCAACAGGTTTTGATGTGGAGGGTATCAGAAAGAGGTTTAATTTAAAACAGAGTATAACAATGTGATTTTTCCCATCTCTTATTAAATATACTAACAAAATGGTACAGGAATTAGCATATATGACACTTTTTTTTTTTACTAAAAGTATCTTTTAAAATTCCCATGTCTTATATGCCATATGTAGGTTTAAAATTCATCATAGTTGGCTGAAATTAGCTATTTGGCAACTCCTATTAGCTTAGACTTTAGATTAACTTTCATATACCTATTTTCATTAGTTAAAAGGCTATTATGCAGATTAAAAGTGTTATTATTGATAATATTCATTATATTAATTTCATCACAGTACATTGTTTCAGTAAAATTATATGAAATAAATTCAAATTATATATTTGTAAAATATATGTGTTTCATTAATATTTTTCTTGTGATAATTTCCAGTTGAATTGGTGTAAATACAATCAGAATTTTTACATCCTAATTATTCCAATAAGACGTTTACAAGATGCAGGTTGTACAGATCATATAAAGGAAAATTTTTGACTGATTTTTCACTCCTTCAGATATGACAACAGCAAGAAAGAGGTTAAGCTACACTGTTGCATACAAGTTTCATGTAATAAACTATGCTAAAGAGCATGGAAATAGAGCAGCTGTAAAATATTTTTAGATTATGTCATATAGCATCTTTGAAAGGAAGTACTGAGTGTCTTTCAAAGACGCTATATGATGTAATCTAGGATCTAACATCTAAGTCCTTTCATTTAACTTGTTGAATATTTATGAGTGTTCTTAAATTTGTAAATTTTTAGTAACTGTCAAATATATAGTTGTTGCAAAATAAAACAATCACATTTGCCTTGATGTGTTGGCTAAACTAAGTACAGTTTTCCTTGTCTTTTCATTCATTTTCTTCTACAGATATACACATTCTGAGAATATTTTTATACATTATATATATATATATATATATATATATATATATATATATATATATATATATATATATATAAAATGGCCAGCTACATTTACCAAGCCAATCCTTGTTTCTGACATGTTCACAGACATTTGTGTTTGTTCAACACCCACAAAGCTCCTTGTGGTTTTATACATGCCGAAAGAACATTAGTTTCAGTTTCTGGGAAAAAGCACATCATATATGTCACAGCATTATTGAAAACTCTGGTATAAACACTGGCATCATTTACAGATGCCTTTGCAGAAATTAACATTCTGAAAAAGTTTTATTCATATTTATCTATACAGAGTAAGTCTTTTCTAGCAGACAGCAAAATTTAAGATTTTGTAATTGGTTTTATTATATTTCCTGCTTACAAATTCAAATATAGAGGTTCAATTTTTTTTCTGTTTTTCAATTTTATGTTAATATAAGGTATAAAAGAACCACATCCGACATGAAAAAAATAACCTTGTCTACACTGGTATAGGTAAGTTTTGTTCTGAATAATTGGCTATTTGAAGAAGGCAATCCCTCAACATAGATAATATCACTGCCAAATATATTAATTTGCATGATGATGCTCAGTCATCAACAAATTATAATCAATCTGTGGTTGTGGTTACAAGTACATGAGATTATATGTTTCAGTGTTGAGAGGCTCACTTGGTGCTGACAGTTGGCAGAGCATTGCTTGGATTTGTGACCATTTTTTCTACATTTAGTTAAAAAAGCTTGCATCAGGATACATATTCACAGGTAAAAACAACAGGTTTAGGAATTGTTTAAAAGTAATAAAAAAATTCCACAAAGCCACTCTGTATAGCCTTAATATTTACTGTAATATATAAGAAAATTCTAGAAATATTTTACTGAATTAATGCACATGCAAATTGATGTATTGACAGTTGTACTCACTTGAGAATAAGTGGACTTGCAAATTGCACAATGTCATAACTAAATTTACACATGTGAGATTTCAGCAAAGTCCAGCCAAATGTCCGTGCAAGAACTCTCAAGAGAGATGGTTTCTTTATGTTCCTTTTAGATTTTTCTTCAGAATTTTTGTCAGCTTGTATAAGAGGAGTAGTTTCAATTGCCATCACAGGATCTGCAGAAACCGTGGCTTTTTTCATCATTTTCTCACTATAAACAAAAATCAAAAAGATTAAAAAAAAAAAAGTTAATTTCGGTAACACATAGTTGAAGTTAATTTTTTTTTTTTTAAAACAAAAAAAAAAATTTTAAACTTTGTTCAATTTCATATTTTATCAATTTTGTTCAAAGTATAATTGTTCAAATAAAAATTATTTGATAAAATTACAGTGATTTTAACTTATCAGCCTTTTATTAATTTGTTTTTTGCATAATTTTTGCTACCACTGTTTGGTTACCGCATTTTGTTAGTTACCGCTAAGATTGCCCCCAACAGATTAAAGTGAGGTTAAAGAAAGAGGAAAAATAATAAAAATGCAAATCCGTATTAACTTAACCTTAGAAATCATAACTAAACCCAAACCAATTTTATTGCTAGTAAAAAAAAAAAAAAAAAAAAAAAAAAAAAAAAATGCAGTATATTAAAATATACTCAAAACTAGCTTTCCTTTAAAACATACACACATGCAGATATATATATATATATATATATATATATATATATATATATAATCTGTAAGTGGAAAGAATAATCCAAGTAGGTCTTTTTAATATAAAATATTAAAAAAGTGCAGTGACGGATAAGCAAAAGAATGTTGTCACAAGAGTGAATCTTATTTAAAAAAAAAAAAAAAAGGGGGGGAAGAAAATATATATATTATTAAAGAACCATATAGTCATACAAGATATTGATCTCAGTATTTTTTTTTTTTTTGTCCTTTTTAAAACATGGCTCTTTTCTAATTGATGCAAAAGCTTTACATTTTAAATAAAAATTATCTATTTAAATTGTAAAGCTTGTGATTCATTTGTAAGGAGTTAATACTTAATAAGCAAATGGAAATTCTATTTATTTTATACAATAAACCTGTAGAAAAAAAAATTTTTTTTTTTTTTTTTTTTTTTTTAGAAACATCCAATTGCAAATAGTTTTCTAAAAATATTGACAATCAAAAAAATATGAGAATCCCTTGATGCATTCTTTTTGCATTAGATTTTAAACATTTGTGCATTAAAATTGCAAATAATCTGTTGAGGAAACAGAAATAATATTTACTTGAACTTTTTACATCTTTTAACTTCCTGTTCCCATTCAGCATCAAATTTAGGAAGGACATTTTTAGCTTTATCTTTTGGATGCAAAGAAAACAAGTCAGCTTCTTGAAGAGTTGTTTGATATGATTGCTTTACAAGTCTGTAAAGAAATAAAAAAAAAAATTTACTTTAACAAAACTTTTTTTTGGTGGGGGAGCATCTGATTTTTTTTTTTTTTTTTTTAAATGAAGCCCTGTTCCATTTAATGTAGTAGCATTTGTATCCTTTAAAACAGATTTATTCTCTAATAATCAGTATGTACAGTTTTTTATACTAAATTTCATTCAGCAGCATAAGACTCAAGAGCCACTCAAGGTAAACAGTTACGGTCAACAAAATGGTAATGCTGAATGAAGTGTGTTATATGAATAGGAAAGGTAGAAAAAAAATGAAAATTATGAGGACAAGGAGAAAAGATGAGTGGCTCTTGAACTGAAGAGGTTAAGGCTGCAGTGTTCAGAGAAGCATATATGCAGTTGTCTATTTCACAAAGTGGTAAGTTTTTCCAAAGAACAACCAAGTGGAACATTATTCTTATATTTGGGCCATAGAAGAAATGAATAGGAAATGGCATGAACTAGTTATAACATTTCTGAACTGGTGAAACTAAAGAATGGTGCTCATCTGAACAGTGTATTATAATACAATAATCCAGTTAGTATTATGTAATGTGTGTGTTTATATTTTTAATCATTTCACTCAAAGCAAGGAGATAAAGCCACTAAGATACAAGGGGTTACTGTGAGTGAAAGAGAAGAATAATGAAAGAACATAATTCAGGAAGAGAGAACATGGTGATTGGTGTTGCATTTGAAAGATTGTAGATGTCAAGAAAGCAAGAAATCAGTAGAGTGCCACAGAACATTTAATTATTTTTATAAAACAGTGCTCAATGCAAATCTACAGAGCATAAATCTTATAAATTTACTAAAAATAAGGTTTCATCGCTACACAGGAATTACCATGTTTCAAAAACATAAGCAGAAAGATTCTTCTTGGCCTTGAAAATGGCCAAAGCCTTCTTATTAAAAAAATGAATGATTTAATAATTAAGAAATAAAAGAATTTATCAATAACTATTATATGTCATCATTTCAATTGATCTTTTTAACAATGTATTTTTTGACCATGTATGGAAGTCTTGCTATGCTATAACTAGATCATTTCCCATTTGACATCAACAGCATATCAGTATGATTGTTAAGACATCTACATTAGCTCAAGCTGTTTGGGATAAGTACCTGTTAGCAGTGATGTTTGTAATTTTATGCCCATAAAATATCTAAAAACTCACAGTAATTACAGAGTAAATACAAAAATGATTCCTTGTAGTTCAAGGACAAAAACAAGAAACTCAAAATCTAATTTTTAAAAAATAAGTTGCTAACAAAGAGAAAGCTTATGTAAAGTTGGCATCAATACTTAAAAACTGTAAAAATTGCCAATATGGACTTTTTAGAACTTGTTTATTGAAATGTTTACTTCAAAGATAATTACTAAAATTAGAAATAAGACTAAAAACATACTTGTTCAACCACCAAAAAGATAAGCGAGATGGAAATGAGGCATAGAATTCTGGATTGGTAATCTGAAATTAAAAACAGATTTAATAATAGACATGCATAATTTTTAAACATATGATTGACTTCCACCTCTGGAAGAAAATACCCAATTTCAATTTATAAAACCTACCCCTTTTCTTTTTTTAATCATTTCACCCCAAATAAAGGTTATAAAGCCACTAAGATGCAAGGAGTTACTTAGTGAGAGAGAATATGAGAAAAAAAAACATTTGGGGAGGGGGGAGAGAACAATGAAAGAACAGAAATTAAAACGAGTGTCATTGCATTTAAATTTTTGAACAAAGTTGACTGGGAAGCAGTAAGCCAAAAGAGTGTTCCACAAACAAGAAGTACGAGAGAAGAAACTGTTAGCATAGAACTTAAGGTTGCCTCTAGCCATTTCAACAACTTTCCAGACAGATCACACAAAGCCTATTTTTTATATATTGCTGACGTAATAGCATTAATTAGAAGCTAAATAAAATTATTCTTAAAGTTTAATATATTTATCTTGTTAAAAAGTTCATTTCATGATTAATCAATTTAATCAAACATCAATAGACAAAAAAAAAAAAAAAAGACCAAAATACAATGTTTCATTATCATTTAATTTTATCTGTCATTAATTGCAACAGGTTTATCAAAATTTTCATAGTTATTGTTTGAGTGACCAGACAAATTGCAGGGAGATTTAATTTCTACACTAATATAAAAATTCATTTTACAAAATATTTTTTTTCTTCTGGGATAGAATGGGAGTTGAAAGAATATCACCTCTTATCTCAAATATTAAAAAAAAAACGCATACAATAACAAACAAAACCTGACAACTACTTCATGAAATTTGAAAGGTACATTAATTATACAAACAAAGCAATATAACAAAGTACAAATTTGACAAAAGCTTGCATGAAAATTTCCTTTCATGCACCTTAAAGGCAAAGCAAAATAAAGTTATAAAAACAATTGGCTCTAAAAAAGATTAATACAAAAACCATTGAAATTAATAGATTACTCCTAGGAAAGAAAAAGAAAAGTGCACTCACTTAATAGATAAATGAAAAAAAAAACCTGTCTGTATTTCCTTGGAGATTCTCAGAGATTTTAATAATATTTTTTTCAATGCTGTTCTGTTTTCTTTCTGCTTGGGCCCCATGTGGTTTACTTTTGCTTTTTTTCTGAGAATTTCCAGATCCTTTTTATGAAATGTCTTTTGTCAGCATAGTTTTTAAGAATGCCAAAACCTTTCTGCCCACTGCTCTGCACTTACATACAAGGAAGCCACAGCCTGTTTCATATCTGACAACCAAGTCAAGCTGACTTCCGTTGCACATGGCGTTCAATCCCTTTCAATGCCTAACTACTTTCCATCACAGCCTGAAGGCTTTGTCTTTTCTGCTATCTAACCACCTCATGATGCTATCAGCTGACCCAGGTTCTTAAATACTCTCAAGCGTGGCTCAATGAACTGCAACTTTAAATTTACGATGATGAAAGCCACCCTTTTTATTAAACAAAAAACAAGGGTAATATAGTTTTTCTGAATTTGAAAAAGGAATCCCTAACAATCCACCATGACTTATTTTTCTAGTGGTCCTTTTTATAACCAATGCTAAATAAAACACTTTTACACACATTTTTTTTTTTTTATTAAATTTTTAATAAGACCATTTGGCCTTCTTTTAATAATCTTCTCACAAACGTAAGTGTATAAGACAGACTATTTAACATTTATTTACTCACACTTTAACTAATTAATATTTTTAATTATTTTACACTACTAACTAATAAAAAAAATTAATTTAATTGCCTCCAGAATGAGGAGCAGAAAAGTTTTCAGTATCTATGGTCTATTATTTTATTTGTTTGTATGTATGTATGTACAACCATGATGGATTTAATACTGGAGATCAAAGTGTAGCATCTGCCTGACCAGTTGAAATGAGTTATGCTTTCTAACTGAGAAAGCAACATAGCATAGCCTTAAACAGGAAGTAATTGGGAAAAAACAAAGGAGAGGAAGTGATAGGAAAAGGGTAGGTATAAAAATTAAAGATTAAGAGGTTGGGAAAGCTAGAGAAAACCCCAAATCAAGAACACTTTGAAAAGTAAAGAGACAAGACGGGTAAGGTTATGGAAACAAAAAGGCTTGCTGTGTGAATATCAAGAGGCAATGAGTGAAACATTGAAAGCTAAGTTAAGAGCAGAAAGACATGAAATCCTTTAAAGAGAGATAGAACAAAAAGATAAAGATGTAACAGAAAATAGACATGTGTCTTTTATTTACATATTTTATTCAATGCATAAAATCGAAATAAAAACATGAACAGGCAACAAAGATTGAATAGGATAAGGAGAAGATACAGACAAAAGACAAAATAGCAGGTATATCAATAATTTAAATTTTCAACACCTGTAGAATTTCCACAGGTCCAGTTAGTATTATAAGTCATGTACAATAATTGCAACCAAGACACTGATAAAGAAACAAATTTCCTCAAAGATTATGTCATAAGCAATATTAACATTAAAGGTATTACAAAAACTTTACTTTTTACTTCAAGTGTCACTATCCCAATATTGAAGGAATAAATTTCTAATTTACTATGAATTTTCAAAGTCCTTGATTAAAAAGAAAATTAACAACAGAATGCAGATTTTATCGCAGTTACAATAAATTTGTCTTTTTTCGAAGATGACCTTGAAAAAGATTGAAAATACTTGGGTTAAAAAATCTGCAGCACTTTCCTTGATAAATTTAATCTTAGCATCAAGAAACTGTTTAGACAACTGAAAAGTATCAGCATAAAAGCAAGTAGACAATATGTCTATATTATTCAGTGAAAACTATATATTATTATTACTTCTAAAGAAATAATGTTTTTTTTTTTTATTAATCCAACAAATTTTTATTACTTTAAATCAGGGTTTCTTGACCTGGGCAATATTATCCCAACAGTGGGCAATAAGTAACTGGACAGAAAATGATGGGCAATATAGGATTTTGAATATTGAAAAGGTATTTCAACATATGCTACCCTCACCCCAAAATATTCAGGACATGAAAAGAACCTATATAAAAAAAACCCCAAAAAACCAAGAGACTAAATGAGAATAACTGGGTTACATTCCTAGATAAGATATAAATATCCCACAAACAAAGAATATTTTGGTATTTTCTATAGTTTTGAGAAATGTCATTAACATTCAAATATTTCTTTAAATGAAATAACATTTTTTTTTGTTATAAATCAGATAAGGGAAGACCAAGAACAGAAAAAAAATATTCACTGAATTTTTATTCATTGCTAGTCACGTATATTTTTTTTAATTTTATATTTATGAACAAAAATTGTTTAATGCTTTTGCCAATGTTAACTCGAGCCATAAAACTAAATTTTATATATAGAGTTTTCAATAGTGAAGTTTACTTTCATTTGTTCTTTAATATGGTAGTAGTAGCAGTTGTCACCACCATGTAAGTCAATGTTGTTTGTCATCTGCTTTTGGTATTTTTTCTTTTCTACATCATAAAGTCAGTTTATGAACCAGTAACTAACTTTACCAAACTATTTTGGTATGCTTTTGAATATTTACTATACAAGTGAGCATATGGTCAATGATGCAGAAAAGGTTGAAAGACTTGCTTTAAAAGTTATTTTTAGTGGATACCCAATTTTGAGAAGACACCTTTTATCTTAAACAGTATATTTATTTTTGTCTACGAAAACACTTGCTGAACATTGATAGGTACAAAACAAAAGATGAGCACAATTAAGAGGCATATAAAGCATTTCAGTGAAGAGTGGATTGTCTCTGCTGGGACATTTTTTTTTTTTTAAAAAAAAAAAAAAAAAAAAAAAAATGAGCATAGCATGCAATCTGTCACTGATAGTTACCACTATTGTCTAAAAGTTTCTATGTAGGGAAAATAGTGTTTTATTGATGAAAACTTGTGCTACTCAGCTGTGTGTTGTAGTTCATATGGAAATAAATAAAAGGCATTACTTTCAGAGCATCCCTCATACAAGATTGCATTGCTCTTTTCATGAGTAGGACTTTTCCAGCTTCTCACATTATTGTCAAGTACGATCTTCAAAAATTTAAATGCAATGTCAATTGTCTTCTGTCTCATTGAATTCTGTTCTTTTTATTGTCCCTTTTTCCTCAATAACATTTTTTCAGTTTCCTTCACTTTCAGTAATCCCCCCTTTATATCTTAGTGGCTTTATTGCCTTGCTTGGGTTAAAAAAAAAAAAAAAAAAAAAAAAAAAGGAAGAGAAAGAAATGTATGATATTTAATTCTTTCCCCAAATGCAATATCAAAATACTTAAGAGATTTGATCTCAATGTGGCTCATTTAATAAACATTACTTAATGGGGTAAAAGAAATAAGATTCATACCTTTCCCAAGGCTATATGTGCATAAGTGAATGCAACAATCATGCCTGTAATTTTAACACTTGGCATGCAGATTTCACTTTCCAAGCCAATAACCACTAACTATATATTATAAAAATATATCTCCAAGTATAGGATTGGTATATACAGAATAAATTCCAATAACCAACAAATACTATTCTTAAATGAGTGCTCAATACAGAGTAGAGCAAATATAATTATATTAGGTAATGAAATGTTTGGTAATGCATATGGATAATCCCAAGGAAGATGTAATCCAGAGAGCTCAATGTAAAAACAGAGCAAATATTAGGTAATTAAAAAACAGACAACCTTAAGGATCCATTAGAGTTGTCCGTTTTTTAATTAAACTTATACATACAGATATATATCATTGAAGTTATATTCAGCACCCCAACTCCAGAGTTTCATAGATTAACTTTTCCTTAATTGTTCAGTCAACTCATCAGGAGATTTCAGAAATTGACTGCCATTTTTCATTATCTTTATACCAAGTTAAAAGTAATTAATTGATGTGCTAGTTGGGATGCTCTTACTATTGAAGTTAGGTTGATTTCTTTTTTTCTTTTGTGTGTGAATTTGTGTGCAGGTGTTAAAAAAAAAAAAAAAAAAAAAAAAAAAAAAAAAAAGGTGTGTGTGTGAATAAAGACAAAAGAAAAACTTATCAGTCAATATATTTTGTCCACTGAGGAATTTTATTTTGTAACAAGTATTTACAGACAAGAATAAAAATATGTCAAGTTTTCCTTTTGTCTTTATTCATATACTTTTACAGATATATTCTATCTGAATTTTTTTTTCACACACACAGACACACACAGTGTGTGCCTGAAAATAAAATTTTTACTGGTGAAAAGCTAATCAAATTTGAAATTCCCTCACTGATTCATATAAAACATTTTAAATACATAGTTGGTTGTATCAATGTTGATACAACCTTAGCTTAAATACTTAAAAGATTCCTGCTACTTGTTTTGATTCCTTAATCACAACAAGTTCTATTCATACAGGTTTTGTAGTGATATGCAAATTAGTATAATTTGCATATGAGCAGGTAGCTCATAAATGGACACCAACGAGAACGGAAGTTGAATAAGAACTTAAGGGATACACGACATAACAATGGCGTCGCCGATAGGATACTCTTTTGGTCCTTGAAGACCCAGAGTACGTAGACACGTGGATTCGTTGCTTTGCTGCTAATGCTAGATGTAAAAAGTTGAAAGACAACAAAAAACAGAGGAGGGAAAATGAAATCACCGACTTGTTCATGGCTACCGCTGGTTGTGAAGCGATTATGAAGGTTGCTACAATGGTTTACCCTCGAGAACTAGAAGAAATGACTTTTCGAAGAAATAAGTCAGGTTATTAAGGGAAACATGAGGCCAAAGAAAAGACTGGTGATTGCAGAAAGGACCAAGTTTATGGCAATGAAGCAGGAAGTGGATGAACCGATAGTAAAATATTTACACCGGTTAAGAAGTGCGAGTAAATACTGTGAATTCGAAAAACTAGGAACAGGCGAGCAGACAACGGAAGAAGAATTAATCCAACTAAGATTAATTGAAGGTATGCATAATTCGGCACATAGATATAAGTTAATGGAACAGTTACAACTTACAAACATGCCTTTGAATATGTGTATAGAATTTATACAACAGCAGGAATTAATACATACCTACAACCAAAATAAAAATAAATCCTACGAAGAAACAATGGCTGAAACATATACGGTACAAACAAAAAAAAAAAAAAATTGTGCGTACTGTGGAAAAATTCATGAAATGAAAAAGAAAAATGCCCAGCCTTTGGAAAGACGTGTTCAAAGTGTTTAAAAAAAAATCACTTCAAAGAAGTATGTAAAACGAAAAATGTGGAAAGAGTAGAGGATGAAAATAGACAGATTTTTAATGTAAAAAAGGATAATATACAAAATACTGGATCTAAGAACGGAGATACAAAAATAAAAGTGAAAATCAACGACTGTATTGTCGAAATGCAAATCGACACAGGTAGTGACGTCACGATAGTACCCAGAAATTTGTGGGAAAAATGGGAAAACCGTTTTTAAAAAAAACCAATGTACAACTACGTCAGTTTGATGGCTCGATTATAGCAATTATGGGTTACTTTGAAGGTTCAATAGAATTAAAAGAAAAATATGAAATAGTACCCATTATAGTTACAAATTGCCGAAAAACGCATGGACTACTGGGGAATGACGTGTTAAAAAATAAATTCAACGAAGTTGATTAATGAGATAGAAATAGAAAAACAGGAAAATTAAAAACTATGAAGCTAGCCTGAAATTAAAAAGAAGATGTTTCCCCTCCTCCTACTACGAAGCGAGAAAAAATACCAGTGCATTTATTACCATTGGTAATAGCTAAATTAGTAAAAGCTAATAAAGGAAGACTTATTAGAACCTGCCCCTCCAGGAGGAAGTAAATGGGCATCACCCATCGAAAAAAAAAAGATGGTGACCTGAGAATTTTGGTATTTTTATAAAATAGGGTGAACCATAAAGTTTGTGCTGACTCGTACCCTATTCCAAATGTGGAAGTAGCTTTACATAAGCTTGCTGGAATGAAAGTATTTTCGAAGATAGACCTAAAATCAGCTTACCATCAAATACCGATAAATGAAAATTTAAAGAAGTGACGACTATAAACACACCTATAGGCCTGTTAAGGTGGAAAAGAATGCCGTATGGCATAAAAACGGCAAGTGCAATTTTTTCAAAAAGCTATTGAAAAGTAATAGGAAATGTTGAAAATACCATCTGTTATCAAGACGATATATGTGTTGGAGATTTAAATGAAGATGATTTAAAGAAAAAAACTGAAAATATACTGAACCGGCTGAGAGACGCTGGTATGACAATAAATACAAAAAAGTGTGTAACCAACAGTAATGAAATATCATTTTTGGGTTACTCAATATCAAAGGAAGGGATCTCTCCAGATAAAGTACTAATAGAGAAAATTCTAAAAGTTGCTACACCGAAAAATAAAAAAGAATTGAGTCCTTCTTAGGTTTGGTAAATTTTTATAGAAAATATGTACCAAAATATAATGAGTTGACAGAGCCATTTGCTAAGTTAAGAAAAAAAAATGTGGAATTCATTTGGTTAGAACACCAACAGAAAGCCTTTGAAAGCTTAAAACAGATTCTGGCAAAAAAGCCAATAGTACAAATTTTTGACCCTAAGAAGGACATAACTCTAACTACTGACGCTAGTGAGCAGTCCATATCTGGTATTTTGTCACAAGATGGGCATCCCATAATGTATTTATCAAGGAGATTAACAACAACTGAACACAATTATTCGAATATAGAAAGGAGGCACTAGCCATAGTGTGGACAACGATAGAGCAAGACAGTTTTGATGGGAAAAAAATTTTGTTGAAAAGTGATCATAGACCACTGGAATTTATTTTCAACCCAAGAAAAGAGCTACCGAAAAGTTACAACGTCCAGAATATTACGTTGGGCAATTAGACTGATGGCGTTCGACTTTGACATTGAATATGTTAAAGGGAATACGATACCGCAAGTTGATGCCTTATCTAGATTGAGGTTTTATAGAGAGGAGGACAAAAACGACGAGGAATTTGAAGACACATTCTTGCACCTTGTAGAAACCGATGTAATATCTGTAGATAAAATGGCTACTGAAACTACAAATGACCCAGTGTTAAATAGAATAATGTCGAGGATAAAACAGAATCGCTGGGGAAATTGTTCAATGGCTGAAAGACCATTCAAAGAAATCAGACATAAAATGACTATAGAAAACGGGATAATATGTAATGGAGACTTGGTAGTTCCCCAGAAACACAGAGGAGACAGGTTATAAAAAGTGTACACGATGACGTACATTGTGGAGTGGCAGCTACGCAAAGAAGATTAAAATTGGAAGCCTGGTGGCGGGGTACTCAAAGAGACGTAGAAGACTACGTAAAAAGATGCAAAAAATGCACAGAACTCAGGAATTTTAAGCAAAAGAAAATACATGTATGGCCCCGAGAAGTAGAACCATGGAGCAGAGTACACATGGACCATGCCTATGTCAATGGGATAGGACTATTATTAATATTAGTAGACGCATATTCAGGTTGGCCTGAAGTGGTGAGAGTACCTGATAAAAAAAGTACCACCGTAAAACAAATATTAAGAGTAATATTTTCGAGGAATGGGACACCGAGAACATTGGTGACTGATAACGCACCAGAATTTGTGGATGCTGATTTGCATGAATGGCTAAGAAAAATAGGATGCAGACCTTACAAGACCCCTCCCTACCACCCTCAAAGTAATGGGGCAGCGGAAAGGATGGTCCAGACGGTAAAGAAGGGCATAAAAGCATGCTTGCAACAGAAGGAGGAAATCGATGCTTTCCTACCAAGATTACTATTAAGTTACAGAACAATTCCACATGCAGGCAGGCTGGAAAGTCCATCTGCCTTAATGGGCAGACAATTAAGGTCCCTTTGACTATGTCATATGCCACAAATCAAAAGATGTGGTACAAAAGAAATAGGAATATGCAACCAGAGTCAGCCGAATTTATTATGCAGAAAGGACATAATACTGCAATATTAAATAAAGAAAATGGGAACAGTGTTCTAGCTCATGCTGACCAAATAAGATCCCAAGGAGAAGAATCTGATGAGGAAATGCCTTCAGAGATGCCCATTATTGATGTATCAGAAGAGTTAATGCAGAATGAAACTGCGCAGGAAGAAGTAGAGAGGGATGAATTAGAAGAGGAAGACCAGAGTATGCAAGAGGAACAATTTGATTATAGGGAAAGACGTGATAGATCTAGATCTCCAAGGGAAAGGAGAGGGATAAAGGAAGATGTTCGGGAGGGCACAAGAAGAAGTACAAGAAGTACTCGCGGCATAAGGCCCCTCCGTTATAGGGAGATGTAGTGATATGCAAATTAGTATAATTTGCATATGAGCAGGTAGCTCATAAATGGACACCAACGAGAACGGAAGTTGAATAAGAACTTAAGGGATACACGACATGACAGGTTTATTTCACAGCCAATAATTTATACAAGAAAGCCTTTGTTTTTCTTTTAAATCCAGAGAGTAAGAGAGAGAATTATAGGGAAAGAAAATGACAGAGAAAGACAGAAAAAGGAGGAAGTACTACAATGGAATTACCTCATTATTACGTCAGGTTTCTGCTATATACTTATCGTTGAGAAAATGCCATTCATTGTTTTTTTTTTAAATTTGCCATGTTCATCCGTCTCCATTGGAGTATTTAATTTTAAGCAGACAAACACATGTGAGCAATATCACCTCCTCTATCTTCTTTCTCTTTGAAACCAAAGATCATTTGATATATTTTTCCTCATGTCTAATACAGAATAGTCATAATATACATGCTAAAGGAATACATGGAATTATAATAGGATATTATAGATACTTTGAAAACTTTAGACAGATCATATTGTTCAATCATTTCTCAAAATTGAAAACTCCTTTTATTACCTGTTAAGTAGCACTCACCTTATCCTCCAGTTGAGTATAGTCAGGCTTTAAGTTTATTTCAACAAAAAAGTGAAGAACAAATTCTACAAGAATGAGAGCATAGATAGCATAATACAAGCCAAAATCAGCCTCATTGCTAAGATTTTCCTGAAAAAAAAAAAAAAAAAAAAAAAAAAAAATTAGATTCAACACATGATATGAATTGGTAAAAATGAAATTACATGAACAAAAATAAAAAAAAACAATAAGACAACTTAAAACCCAACTTCAAAGTTGGTTATTGAAGGATTGCCATATTTATTCACTTTCTAACAAGGTTGACAAAACAAAGTGCGACACTGAAATCCAAACACATTGGGATAGTGAAAGATGCATTCCAAAAGCTAAGCAAAGTATTAAGAAACAGGAAAATTTTGTTAGAAACAAAAGAAAAGATTGCTGAACCATTATGTAATATCAGTCCTCCTATATGACAGTGAATGCTGGACAATCTCCTCACAGATGAAGCAACAGAAATGTGGTACTACAGAAGGATGTTGAGAATACCATAGACTGAACAGGTGAGTAACAAAGTTTTAGAGAAAATGAAAACAAAAAGGACACTTCTCATCAGCATCAGAAAGTAACAGTTGATATTTTATGGTACAAGATGGCTTGGAAAATTTGATACTCAACAGGACAGATTGAAGGCAAGAAGGACAGGATGCCAGAACAGGGTTTGAGAGAGATAACAAAAAGACAATTTATTAAGAACTACAAAAGACAGGAAGTTGTGGAGAGCAATGATCAGCAACATCATGAAACAACAGATACAAGTTTAATGTGGAAAAATACAAAAATTAAACTTGCCTAGTCAATGTGGCCAGTGCTATTCGTCAAATAATTCAGGATTAGAACAATTTACGAAAATGTTCTTAGAATCTTAGGTCATTGTTTTGGTTTGAAAAATCTCAAAATTAAAGTATTTTTTCATTAGTTCTCTTAAAAAATATTAAATAGGATCAAATCTTTTTTTTTTCATTACGACTTCATTTATTTTATTCTTTATTGTAAAATATAGCTATGTACATCCCACTCCCAAGATTTTAGCAGTGTAAGAATTGTGTTTTGTGACTGGAATGATTGAAGTAGTTATAAATAAATGAGAGTATGGAGATACAGAAAGTTGAGAAAACTATAAAGGAAAAAGAAAAAAAATGGTTAATTAGGACATTTAGAACTGCTTGATTAAAGCTTTGAAATTGGAACTGGTGAGAGTCAAAACCTCTATACCTAATATAAAAGGGTGTGTAAGTGGCAGTATCTTTGAATAATCAAATGAACAAAAATTATCCGAATATTTTCCTAGTCACCCAAAATATATGCATTTCTCTGACCCTAATTTGAAAAATAAATATAGGAATGGGTTCAACTCAGGGTATCTGGTTTTTGTCAAGAGAATCTTCTTTGAAGAAGATTCCGATATCTGAAGACTTTATTAACAGAAAGATTCACACCCACAAGTACTGGAAAAATACCCACTCCAGTCAGTCAGAAAGGTATATTTTGTCCCCTGACCATTAGAGATATGGATATCCTTTTTTGTTGGAGTTTAAAAAATGGAGTTAAATTAAAAAGGGAAAAACTGACAAAAAAGAACAGAAATGAAAGAAGCCACTACTATTGCTAAACTGACTGTTTGTAGTAAAAGGCCTTAAACAAAAGAAGTTTTTGTGTAGAGACTAGTGTTCACTACCTACAAACAAAAAGAATTGTGTAGTAATTGCCAGTAATGCATAGTCATTTGTTATCTGAATAGCTTTGTGATTTGAATTAGTCTTCAGCTAAACAATTTATCACAGGCCTGTCAGATATCCAATTCAACAGACAAGCAAAACACCAGCTGCAACATAGCAAAGAACATATTGTGGTGTGGCTAATTGCAACATAGCAGGAACAGATTACAGCTGGTGTGGTAGCATTCACAACTCATCGATCCCTCAAGAACCAGTGAGGCTTGTCACGTGCTCAGAGTTCTGTAGACATGTCCTGCTTTTATGAAGTGATTTTTTTTAAATGCAATAAAAACAAGACCAATTTGTCAATCACAATCAGTCTTGAAGTACAAAGTGAACATTTAAAACATTAGGTTCTGCCTATGTACATTTTTAGAATATATATATATATATATATATAATCACGACAGTCTGTTTCATGCTATATGCAATCGTCAGGCCTGATTGCATATAGCATGAAACAGACTGTCGCCCTAAGTGTTGACTTCTATGTTCACACACGCTCTATCTCTGATATTGAGCACTTTATCCCATAAATATAGCACACCTTAAGACTATATTTCTTTATATATTATATATATATATATATATATATATATATATATATATATATATATATATGTGTATGTCATTCCCCACTTCTATAATTGTCTGACTCAAAAGATACGCATTTGTAGAAAGATCAATTGTCTAACAGTTTGTGAAAATTCCTTCCTAGCCCTGGTTGAAAAATCACCGATTTACAGGATCCTTTTTTTGTATATTCAAAAAAAAATAATTCAGACTTACATGTTTCTCTATCTTGGAATAAAATGGGATGACTCCAGCCAAAGTATTCAATAACCAGAAGATGAACAAAATGGCAGATGAAAAAATTGCCCGCCTCCTTTCAAGTTCAATAAATACTGCAGCCAAAACCTAAAGATTTAAAAAGCAATTAAGAAATTTTAAAAAATGCATTAAAACAATGCAATAAAGAATAACAAAAGCATTTAAAGAATTCTCTTTTCAGTTAATCTATGAAAAAGACTATTCCTGTTAAAAGACAACTTTAATATGGTTGATGAAAAAGTTAATTTCACAAATTCAAAATTAATCTAATAGGCTACAGTTTTGACATGAAGATGAATTAAGAAAAAAAATAAAATTACCAGAAAGCATAGATATACACATTTAAAAGTAATTTAATATGAAATACCATGATGCTTAATCCCATCACTGGGTACCACAAAGATCTTTAATCCCGTCACAGGGTACCACAAAGATCTTTAATCTAATCTTTGTAATTTTCTTACATTATTATGAAGTAATTTTCTAACAAGATCTATATTTGATAAAAAGTAACTATAAAATAATTATAAAACCAACTTATAACTATATTCTATAGAATACTGAATATGTGAATAGTTGAATATAGAGCAGTTCAATTGCCTCTGCTATACAACAGTGCATCAATAAGTCCAAAGCCCAAGACAGTTATTAACCAAATTTTAATATTTTACTTTACATATTCAAGTTATTCAGTTTATGAAGAATGTTGGGGTTTTCTCTAAGAACTGCTAGTTTGTGGAACAGAATTCCATGTGAGTTCTTCCCTAAACACTACAATCTTAACCTCTTCAAGTCATGGGTCAATCATTATATATCCTCCTGATCCTTAAAATCTTCACTTTTGTATGTAACCCTCTACCATGAATGGCTCTTTTTTTTTTTTATGTAAAATATTTTTGTTCTTCTAGATATATTTACCAAATATGTGTTTCTGTATAAATTTCACAAAAAAAATATATTGCATACTTTGTAAGCACCAGAAAAAATTATTCGAGGTAATTTTTGGATTTTTGTCTGAATTTCTGGGATGAGGAACTATTTTATTATATTCAGACTAATGTCTTTTTTTTTTACTTTTTTAATTTATTATTATCACTACAATATTTCAGCTGTTGTACCCTCTGACCTTCTTCAAGTGTCTGTCAATCCAGGTAACCTTAAAGGAATTTCAAATTGAATACATTATTTAATCTATGGGGATTGTTCTTATTCAGCTGTCCATACCTGAAGAAGACCAGAAGGAACAAGAGACAAAATGTTGTGATAATAATGATGAGGACATTAGCCTAAATGTAAATAAAGTTTTAGATTAAACTGAAATGAAAAGTATTTTTTTTAAATTTATGTATGAAAAGCTTTTAATTAAAAAGTGAAAAAAACCCCCAAAAATGACAAAACCCGCCCTTGTTCTGATCAAGGAAAGAAATTTATTTTTTAATTTAAGTGTTAAAAAAATTGAAAAAAAAATAAGCTATAAATGGAGATTATATATATGAGAGAGAGAGATGGTATCAGAAGTTCCTAAACAAGTATCTCCTGGAAAATTCCAAGACCGATTCCAATCATTTAAGAGAACTCATGGATTGTTTGATGACAGTCCTTATAGAAGAAATCAAATTTTTTTTTTTTCCCATATTTTCTGCTTTGCTGATGATCAGTCACCCTTAACAATCATCTTAAATAGATGCTTCACTGTTTTGAAACTCAAATGCCATTCACAAAGATGTGAATGACAAATGATATTTGCCAAAAGCAATGAAATATTTCAAGGGTTTCAGTAGCAGATTTGCTGAGCCTCACACAAAATTTGGTCAAGTCAGTTATTGCATAAAGATCACAGAGCAGTTTCAACTATGTTGCAAAAATTTTGTGTAATAATTGAACAAATAGAATCTGGAAAATGATCAGCTCCAAAAAACACCAGATTCCTTTTGACAATTTATTTTTACAAAAATTCAGATTGGACTAAAAATGCAGTATTACTGTCCAATCCTCAATTTCCAGTCTAGAGTGAGTTCAAAATTACATTGTCTTGTGAAGGATGACAGCTTGTAGAGTCCCTATCTTACAGACAACGTTGCAAACCTATGTATTCCTTTGGTAAGAAGGGCATTCAAAAAGATTTCCCAAGAACTGCTACATTGTTGAACATGGATTCTTATCCACACACTACAACAGCTTCAGGTCTAGGGTTAATCATTATTTAGTAACCATGTATCCTTTTCAGCTTTACTTCCTCCTCTTACATTTCTATCACACAGCTCATTTAGTAACCCTCCAAAATGAGTGGCTCCTGGCCTTTGTATTGGGTGAACTTTGATATAAAAAAATATGTTCATAGATTATATCCTATCGAAACAGATATACAATCACAGCATGTACAGTCCTGGAACTTTCTGACGTTTCATTTTATATATAAATATTACTTACAAAGGATAGAATTTGTAAAATCAGAGAGACATAAACAACAGCAGCAGTTTCTGCAGAGTTACTGACTCTCACAATCAGTTGGATGGTGACCAATAAACTGAGCAAGAAGCAACATAACTGAAAAATAAATAAAATTGAAAAATTAATATATTACAAAGAACTGCTTCCCAGTTGTCATTTCAGTGCATCCTTATCAAAATTAACAGCTTGAGTTCATAAATTATAGTAAAAAGAATAAGAAAATTCAAATTTCAATTAAGATAGATGACATTTCAGATAATTTTAGAAATTTGACTATACTATGAATTTTGGGTTAGTCTTTTCAACTAACTCATTTTTATGATTTAACACTATTTTATCAAACTAAGACATGGTGAAATTGCCAATACTAATAGAAAATAAGTTAATGCTGCCAAAAACACTTTACAAAGTTTTTACTTTTTAATATAATTCTGCATTATAATTTTGAAAGTAGGTATGAAATAATAAATAATTCCTGACAAGACTTGAACTCTTGCTTCATATAACAGGCTTAACCAATTGAGTCATGGAAGCTTAGATGCAGACACAAATCTATTAAATTTTTCTTCTATTTTAAACTAGCAGTAGAGCCCGGCGTTGCCCGGGGATGTAACAGTAAGAGATAGATCAAGTATCGACCATCATAAAGACTGAAAAATAAAATTGACAAAGATTATTGCTTAAGGTTGACGGACCAAACATGTCTTCTTTTTTTTTTTTTTTTTTTTTTTACGAATTGGTCAAACTCAAACAAAAACATTGTTTTCAATCGTTATGAGTCTACCAATTGAATAGAATTTTATTATAAACAATTGCCTTGTAAATGGAATTTTTAAAGCATTCTGAATGTAAAAATAAAAAAAAAAAGTGTGCAAGACAATAAGAAACACTACCTGCCAAAAAAAAAAAAAAAAAAAAGTGAAGTTTTGTTGAAATCGATTGAAAAAAAACGTAGGAAATCTGATCCCATATGTAAACGAACACACACACAAACAACCTGGGTTTTTATAAGTATAACTCGATATGAGTTGTCCCCCTTTCATTTTTGCGATGCCTCTTAATCGTGTTTTCAAATTGATTTTGTGCAAAAACAATTGTGTTTTCCCAATTTTTGGCACTGTCAGAACCACCGCAAGGTAATTTTACATAGTCCTGTGAAGTTTTGTTGAAATCGGTTGAAAAATGTAGGAAATCCGATCCAATATATAAACGTACAGACACACACATACACACACAACCTGGGTTTTATAATAAGTATGATGTATAAAATTGTTTGTTTTTCATGCCAAAAAATGTCATTTCTCTTGGGTTGATTATATGGATTTCGGTGAGCTCCAGTTATTTTGAGAGATTAACAGTTTTGGGAGAGTTAAATGCTTCTGGATAAATTCAAAACACCCCATCCATATTATAGATTATTGGTGTTTGAGTATCTTTAAAATCGTGTAAACAAATTGTGATACACAAGACAAAGATATGAAAAAACTAGATAAAAAAAAAAAAAAAAAAAAAAAATCAAACATTCCAGTGCAAATGACTTAAAGCATGAATCATATTTTCAAGTACATGAACTAAAAATTAATTTACCTGTACTTGACAATTAAAAAAAAACAAAAACAAAAAAAATAATCTCTGGTTTGTTCAGCATCAGAACAAATATGTATAAGATACCACCACAGAAAACGTAATACTTTCTTGAAGCTTTTATTTTAGTTTTAATTTCAAGCTAATAGATTAAATTTAATATTTCCAATAACTTTGCTGTAATACTTCCAATACTTTATTATATTTCAAAAACTAATTTAAATTAAATGAAAGGAGTTTGTTTTTTTACTAAAATAGCTGATTAGTGCCACTTTTTAGTCTTTCATTACAATGTAATTCTCTTTATTAAAAAAATCTTCCAAAAATAAAATATACTTTTCTGAAACTTTATTTCAGGAATATTAGCTGATTTAAAGTATAATTAATCTAATTTGAAACAAATATTTACTTTAAGTTTAAAATATACCATAAATGCATTTTTTAACACAGCTGCAGCTGTTTGTTTATGTTGTTGACATGTTTGACATATTGATGCTTATATAATGTTGTTCTTTGGGGGTGGGGGGTCTTTAGCCATAAAAAATAATTGAATATAACAAACACCTTTGCTATATCATTTTTCATTACTCAGTAATCTTAAAAATTTAAGAAAATATTCTCTGTAATCTAATATTTTATTGAATTTTAGATACTTTCTGGTTTTAGATTTACTATAGTTATCACTTTATGTAACATTTTATGAAAATGTTATATACAAACATCTGTATCTACAAACATTCGGCATATTTATATGCTTAAAAAAAAATTAAAAATTCTTAAAATATTGAGGTTTCAGGATTTGTACTAAGATTTTCTATTTATGATTAGTAAATCTAGTTTTTACTCAATATCTAAAAGGGTAAAATTAATACAGAATTTCAAGATTTAAAAGTTCTAATCAAAATTTTTAAAAATGAAAATTCTTGTAAAAAAATTCATTATTCAACGAAAACATTTTTCAAATACAATAGCATCCACAATATATCTTATTTATAAAAGCAATTAAAAGCTTTTCTAATTAAATAATATAGTTTTATGGCATTTTTTATTTTACAATTCAGAGCAGACAGTGTTTGACAAAAATCAATTGATGATTTAAATTCTCCAAAGAGTCCTGATTTTAACAAATATAAATATGAAGAAGGTGAAATTTTAATTTCTCAAAATTTCATAACATTAAGTAGGGGTAACATATATATATATATATATACATAAAAAAAATTTTTCCAAAATAATTTTATTTGTCAATAACTCCTGAAAATTTAATTAAAATCCAACAATTATTTGATTTTTGCATGAATTGCCAAAACAATTGTTCTTTACTGCAAAAAAGATGCTAAATTTACCATAGTAATCTTTGGCCCAGCCACTGACACAAGAAAAACAAGATTTTTAACCAAAATTTCAAACATATTTTAAAACCAACTGTTTTTATCAAATTTGGGGCCCTTTTTCATCATGGTAGGGCTCTTTTTTAGCAAATTTTGGGAGGTACCTTATATATATATATATATATATATATACACACACAAACTAAATAGACACACAATGAATTCCATTTGATACTCACTATCTTAACAATACTAAATTTTGTAATTGGCCTTGGTGGTCGACCATTTTGCACAGTGATGAGGTAGTAGAGGTAGAAAGGTAGAGAGATCCAAAGAAAGCCACATGGTATCCATATTAAAAGAGAATCTTGGAAACATTGTGTGAATTCTGGCCATGATGTCTCACCCCAAGTCAAGCTAGCATTCTGAAGAAAAGAAAAATTTATGAAGAAAATAACAATATGCAGCATGCACTTAAGTATATCAATAAATGAGGGTGAAGAGAAATAATTTCACACAAATACATAGTTTTCAACAGTCTCCATGTTGGTACATTTAATTCAGTAGTGATAATTAATCACATTAGATTGAACAATATACAATGAAAATTTCAAATCAAAAAGGCAGTTTAATCAAACAGTTGACATTGATGCACCTTTGTAAATAAAAGTCAAGGAACATGTTTTTTGATCTCAGGATCAAATAAAATTCACAGAATTAGTATATATTTTGAACTAGCTTAAAAGCCACCCTATTGGGTGGCTTTTAAGCTAGCTCCTGCAGAGGCTCCTTGATTGGGCCTGCATCACAATAGGTAGGGAAGAGTAGATGTGATGAGCAACAAACTACAATAAACTCAAAATTGATCACTGCATTTAAGTATTGCACTAATATTTAAGCTTACCTTTTAAAAGTTCAATGATAATTCTTCTGGTACCACTTAATTTAAGCACAATTTGATGTATGTAGGTCTTTACTTTCCATACAAACAATTATTTTCATTTCATAGGTGAATTCACAATTTCAACTATTACCAAATTTCTTTCCAAATTATAAAAATTGTTATCTTACAAAAAAAATCACATAATTGCTGAAAACAATTACAGTAATTAATGAAAACTTGGGAATCCAAAATTTCAGGTCTGGATCTGGAATGTTTTTTTTAATTTGCTCATGGAGCCTGCCTGATATGTTGGAGTAAAGTTGAAACATGGACAATTTTATTTTGAAACACTAATTTGAGAACAGTAATTTTTTCATTTGAAATGATCTATTGAAAGTTAGAGAGCTGTGTCCCTTTAAGTTGAAAAAGTATGACACAGTGACATTTGAATTTATTATATAGATTTAAAAAAAAAAAAAATAAAATAAAAAATCCATGTGCATGGAAAACCTCCTGACCCCAGCGAGAAAAAAAAAAAAAAAAAAAAAAAAAAAAGTAAAGAGGTGGTAGTGTATCAACTGTAATCTTGTGTACCAAATACAAGTGCTGTCACAATTACTCTTCTCATTTCCATCCCAACCCTGCATGGTACTTATTAGGTAGGATATTATTTTTCGAATAATTTTCTTTGTAGCATGATTATTTTGCTCCAGCTTATCAAGCTTATAAAAATTCCCAGCAGAGCATTTATTTGAACTGGATTGCTTATTTTACAAGTTGAAAGATTCCCACTAGTATGACTATTCAAGATAGTATTTGTATTTGGTACCAAAAAGTATAAAATCTAAACTAAATTTTTACAAAAAGTTACCCAGAATCTTTCATATGAATAGATAGCAATGGCTAAATAACAAGTGACCATACAGGATTTAACTTTTACCTACCAACAGACGTTTATGCATTTTATACTAGCAGTAATAATTACTTTAACTTTTGACCAGAGACAACTCCTTTTTCTCATTTACAATGCATAATATTGATTGATTGCCAAACTTCTTTAAACAACTTTCAAAAAAAAAAAAAAAAAAAAAAAATAAATAAATAAATAAATAAAATAAAATAAAAATAAAAACCAGTGCTATTCAAATTTTTAAAAGCCTTCTGCCAGAAAATGGCAACATCTAAACAGACTGCAAAGCCTTCTGCCAGAAAATGGAAACAAGTTCAGTTTTAAAGATTATTGGCAACTTTGCAAGAGTGTGCTGAACAGCAAATCCTCAATCCCTCCTCTATTCAATCAATTCAAAATCTTGACATCTACAGCAGGTAAGGTTAAATGTTTTGTTCATAAATTATCTTCCAACTCAAAACTCGATTCATTTAGAGTACCCACACCCAATTTCCCCAATAGGACAGGTTCTACTGAGTCATATGCACATAACCCAGTCACTGGTCTCTGACATCATTTCTAAATTAGACTCATAAGGCAAGCAGAGGTGATGAGAGCCCAGCCATCTTCCTAAAGAAATGTGCTCCTGAGCTGCTCCAGTCCTCTTCAAACTCCAACTATTGCCTCACTACTTCCTTCTTTCCAGATTGTTTGAGGTCCTCCTCTGTAGTTCTTGCTTATAATTCAGGAGAATCTTTCTGACTCCTCTAATAGTCTCCTACCGCTTTTAAACAAACGTATTCAAGGCTTTAATCAATGCTGAAGCACCTTACCTCTCGATCTACTCTCTAAGAAACAATATGGCTTCCATTTTGCCAGGTCTACCACTGATATGCTAACAGCCATCACTGAATATGTGTATCAAGCTCTTAATAATAACCACAAAGCTTGAGCTGTAGCTCTAAATATCTCAAAGGCGCGTGACAGGGTTTAACATGCTGGTCTTCTATGTAAACTCCAGGGTTACCGTATTACTGGATGATTGTTTGATTTAATCCAATTGTTCCTATCAAATTATGAAATGAAGGTCATCCAGAACAAGCTTGCTTCTAGATCCTTTCACACTAATGCAAGTGTCCCCCTCCCCAAGGCTCTATCCCGAGTCCTACACTGTTTCTGACCTTCAATGATCTTTCTGATGTCATCAATTCCACAGTAGGCATTTATGCTGATGACACTACCATTTACTCCTGTCTCAATAGCAAATACGTCAGAGCTGACAAAGTTAACCTAGCCACTGCACTTGAAAAGGAACTCCAGTCTCAAGTTAACTGGGGCTCGTAAATTATAATGTCCCCAAAATGAAACTGATCTCATTTAACCACCATAGAGAATCTTTCTTGCCTACCATCAATATAGCTTATGCTACACTCATGGAGAGCAACACACTGCAGTTTCTTGACCTCATGTTTTCAACTAACTTGAAGTGGAACGAGTACATCGAATCAATACTGCATCTACTGCAAGGAAAGTTGGGTCACAGTGTCACACCAGAATGTTTTTCTCGTTAGAGTCCATCTTGCATATTTACAAATCTACCATTCATCTGTGCATTGAATACTGTCGACTTATCCGGTCTGGTATTCCTGCTACTCATCTCAAGGCTCTTGGCAAAATCCAACAAAACATCTGCAATGTAATCGGTCCTGACTTTGCATCTCAACTACAGTGTCTTTCTCACTGATGCAATATATCTTCCCTCTATCTTTTCTGCTCCCCACCTCCATGCCCAGACTACATGAATTTAAGTGTGTTACTAGATTGACATCTAGATCTTACCCTTTTATTGTTGAATTAAAAAAAAAAATGCTAAACAAACTACAATGCCTTCTGCTAGAAAATGGTGATAACTATAAAGCCTTCTATTTGATCTGTTTTATCAACCTTTTTGGGGTTATTTAAAGCAAAAACATTTAAGATTGTAAGAATAATTCATTTTTTTCAAGTGAATTTTGCATTAACAATTTTGGGGAGATCTTTCCAGATACAGGTCTTACTATTTAACCCATAGCTGGGAGAAGAGATGGATTCATACCTTTACAAAAGGCATTTGTGTATAAGTGAATGTAAATAACTCTCCAATTTCTTAATCCCAACCACTATCCATTACATGACCTGCAGATCCATCCCTTTTGCTAGAACATGACTACAGCTAAATTGAATTAAAGTAACAGTAAAGTGGATGGTAATAAATATGTATCAGGTTGAAATGAAGTTGTCTATGTGAAAAAATATCTGTGTTATAGAGATTATTTCATAAATTGTTTGTGACAGTGTAACTGAACTTAGTTGAAAGAGTGAGTAAAGTCTGCAAATATCCCTTTCTGTTTGATATGGGCTGATTAGAACAATGTTCTTATAGATCATGAAGAGAGCATATAGTATTTTTTTAAAAAGAACAAAAATGGTCCTGAAATTGCTATTATTTTTTTTATAACACAACTGGAACTAATGTACATAGCCTATGTACAGAAAACATTTACACACCTCTCTCATTGCTCTATAAACATAAGCTCCCAGCTAGATTCTCCATCAAAATCCCATAAAGTAATACTTTATTAGAGATGATTAGAAATTTCTTATAACTAAACAAATCCCTGTTTGTTTAAGTGAAATTAATTTCTACCAGTTGAGAGATAAATTTCACAGTTAAAAAGAAAGACATGACACACTTATCCCAACATCTCTTCCACTTTCAAATAATCTTTTTTTTCTTTATAAATCATTTCACCACAATCAAGGCAATAAAGCCACTATGTTACAGAGAACAAGAAGTTACTGAGTGCAAAAGAATGAGAAAAAGAAAACATTAAGACAGAACAAGAAAAGACCAAGAATTCAGAATCAATATTCAATGCATGGATGAAATTTCTCACAAATGATTAAGAGAAGTTTAATTTTGGAAGCATTAGAATTAACAAGCCATTCCTTTCTCCGGTTAACAGGAGTAAATAGTTGTATCATCAGCATAGATACAGAGTTAAGCACTGATGAGATCAGGAAGTTTATAAAGTTCTATTTCTGGATCACCATCAGCTGTCTTTTTGCCTTCTTCTATCAACTTTTTTTTATTTAAAAACACACACACAGCCTTCGCAATGATAACCTTAGCTTTAAGAAAAAGCCATTGACTGCAGAGCACTGAATCAGAATTATAGGGAATCTCATCTGGGTGACATTAGTTTTTGACAAAAGACCAACACAAAACATGAAAAATCTTTATTTGATCATTGTGAATGCAAAGACAAGTTCACTCCATGTCATATCACTTCTGGTAGAGTAAGCTTCCCTCTGATTGGTTACCAAATTAATTCAAGTCCAAGCAACAAGTTCTTGAGATTCAAAATGGTTGAACACTGTCATGGGAGACCTCATAGTCTACAATTATTTGTTTATTTATTTATAAACAATATTGCACTAATAATCCTCAAGCAGAACATTGTCAGCTTATGCCAGCCTCTAGAAAAACCCCTTCATTTTTAATAACATGATCTACTTCAGATGCAATAAACAGGACTTGTATATTTGTTTATCAATACACACAAATCTGCAAACCAGATAGATTTATAGAAGTAGAAAAATAGTGTAACTAA